CAAAGTTTTAAAGTTTTATATAATTACTTAAACAACTTATACAGTTTAATTAATTTTTTTTTATCATTTAACTTTTTTAATTTTTTCATGAAATTTACAGAATTGGAAGCAAAAACATAATAATTCCACGGGTTTTATAGTACTCGATCAAAGTTCAAAAGTATTCACTATAGTAAATTAAAATACCAAAGTTTTCGCCATAGTAAATCAAAGTTCCAAAGTTTTCACCATAGTGAATCAAAGTTCCAAAGTTTTTACTATAGTAAATCAAAGTTCCAAAGTTTTCACTGTAGTAAATCAAAGTTCCAAAGTTTTCACCATAGTAAATCAAAGTTCCAAAGTTTTCACTATAGTAAATCAAAGTTCCAAAGTTTTCCCTGTAGTAAATCAAAGTTCCAAAGTTTTCCCTGTAGTAAATCAAAGTTCCAAAGTTTTCACCATAGTAAATCAAAGTTCCAAAGTTTTCACAATAGTAAATCAAAGTTCCAAAGTTTTCACTCTAGTAAATCAAAGTTCCAAAGTTTTCACCATAGTAAATCAAAGTTCCAAAGTTTTTACTATAGTAAATCAAAGTTCCAAAGTTTTCACCATAGTAAATCAAAGTTTCAAAGTTTTTACTATAGTAAATCAAAGTTCCAAAGTTTTCACTATAGTATAGTTGGTCTGAAAACTAAATGGGATGGGCGACCAGAGAGCTACAGTACCACCCATTTAAAAAAAACAGTATATTATAATTTATTGCGCACAGAAGAAAGTGCACTGTTTCTCGATTTATTTTCCAAATATATGAAAATATCACTAACCGTGTTTTCCTGGCATATCGCGATAAAACACCATCCACAATTCATAACGAAGCGCGTTGGGCCGAATTGTCTTGCCACCCAATTGCAAGATGGCAGTATAAATTTTGCTGGTCTGAATTTCAGACCTAGAGGAGCTTAACAACGATTTTTGGGAATGTTTTATTGTGGAAGTAGTGCAAACATATGTTAGGAACACATATTTTGAGATGGCAGTTTAAATATATCAAGAAATAAATTGAGAAAACAGCGTACTCAACCATTCAATTTTTTTCAGACGAGCGAGATAGAGACCTCGGCAAGGGTTTTCATATTTCTTGTGACAAGCCCTTCCCTTGGATACCAACAATTTGGAATTTTTAACCTTGACCTTGGGTTAAACTTCTTACTTTCGCCATTGGTTGCCATAAGGGGGCATCAGTGTTTCACAAACTCATGTTGTTGAAATGGTAATAATGTTTCAGCAACAATGTAATAAATGTTTGCTTTGGAACTTTGATTTTTAAAAAATTAGCTATTGTATCAAGAAATTCGATTATAGAATTTAAGTTTAATTTCGCAAAGATCTTTATCATAAATAAATGAATTTATCATAAAACATGACTTTTTATGCTTGGGTTAAAATCCATTACGAGATAACCACATAATTTTGTCATAGTTCCATACATTTCAATAAAGAAATTCATTCTAATCAGTAATATATCTTAAATCAATTGATAATACCAGGCGCGGATCCAGAATTTTTTTCCAGGGGTCAAAAAGAAAATCCCAGAAATTTCTTGACAAGCAAAAAAAAAAAAAAAAAAAGAAGAAGAATATAAACTCACCCAAACGTCAAAAACCTATTTCATGGGGGGGAGGGGGGCGTTGTCTATGACTTCTGTAAACCTCAAATCTTTCACTTTTCATACCAATTTCACACCCATTCGCGTTTACCAGGGGAAGTCAGCATTTTCCAAGGAGGGTCCATGGTCACTTTTTTCTGGCTTTAGTATATACATTTTTTAACCTTGTAAATTCCAGGGGGGCCCTGACCCCCCCCCCCCCCCGACCCCCCTCTAGATCCGCGCATGAATACTCTAACAGAAGAGAATAGACTGATTGATATTTTATCACAGTACATACACTCATTAATACACTCACTGTAATAAAACGTTTTGGGACACTCTGTTCCATATTGTACACGTGACTGTCATCTTAATATCTTTAAGAATTTAGGAAACGACAATTTGATTTCGTGGAAGGGGGTGGGGAGCTGATCACCATTTTTTCGAGTCAGATTATTTATTTTCTATTTTTATTTTATCAGTTAGGCAAGTTAATTTATTTTGGAAATCTTGATTTAGCAACCCTTTGTAATAAAACAAACTTAGACATGAAGAATCTTGTCAATTCTATGAATTTATCAAATGCAGAACAATCTGTGTAAATAGCATGTTGTCGAATGAATTTAAAGTGTTTTTCAGCATGTACATGTGTATCTTACACATACATGTATAACTTATACCTAAATCCAGTGGTAGCTACAGAAAAGGGTAACTTCGACCGAAATGAAAAAAAAGACAACAAAGCTTAGCAAATCATTTCTTGTAAATGTATGTGTAGACGTGGTTGACTTACCAAGAAAGATAACTCGTCAAATGTTGAATGATCTCAAGTCAGTAATAGGATTATTGATCGTTACGGTGTTTCAAATTGTGAAGATATTTTGATTTCTTTCGAAAAAAAAAATTCTACAATTAATCATTTTAATTTAAAAAACCAATTTGGAAAAATATAACAGATGTGTTATTGATAAACAATGTCCCAATCCTGTTATATCATGGGGAAAAAAAACGGGAAAAACTCATAGCTAACTCGTAATTCTAGAATCGCTTCATTCGCGTCTCAAGGGAATTGGGAACATAGTTTTGGTGAGCAAAGCCCCTAGCTTAAAATTCTTCATTGAAAACTAATTAGTCATTTTAGGAGTTCTTAATGAAGAATTGATATGCTTAAATGACAATTTTGGATATTTTAAGCCAGATTCGCTTGTGTGTGTGTGTGTGTGGGGGGGGGGGGGGGGCATGTATATATAAAAAATGCATTTGAACATTATTTAATCGCATGCATGAATGATTAATCCATGTCTTCTCTAAATGGAATATATGCAATATATTATATGTTTTCCTTTCTTTAATCAGCTTATTTTTTTTTATCAATTAACTCTTTATATACACAACACAGTCAAGAAATCTGTAGCGAATATTTAAATTCAGAAACATTTTATGCTTCCCCCGTGCAACAAGCATCTTTATACTTTGCCCCCTCTCCTCCCCTCCCCGGGAGGTGGGGACTGCTCCATCGGATGAAACCTTATAAACCGAAGTCCTGTACGTGTCGCAATAGATACTTGCGCGGATTCAGGAATTTTTTTCAGGAGAGGGGGGGGGGGTCCACTCCAGTCCAAAAAAAAATCAAACTCAGAAATTTGTTGACAGGCAAAAAAAAAAAAACAACAACAACAAACAAACAAACAAAAAAAAAATTAAAAAAAATAAACATGCCCAAACGTGGAAATCCTATTTCGTGAGGGGTGGGGGTGGGGTTAAATAGTTAACTTTTGACTTCTATAAATACTTCATACCTTAGTATTACTTTTCATACCAACTTAACACAGTAAGGTCTGCGTTTTCGAGGGGGAGGGGTCTCCGTTTTCCAAGAGGGGGGGGGGGTTCTAAGACCATTTTTTACTTGGTTTAGTGTATCAATTTAATATTTCTGCAAATTCCGGACCCTACCCCACCCCCCTAGATCCGCGCATGTGCTCAATGACCCTGAGTGCCGAGCATAGGAAAAAATGTACAGCTCTCCATCGTCTCCATGAGCGAGATAATTCTCGAGTGGAATGTTAAACAACAAACCAATACCCCCTACCGGCCGCAATTTTCCCCACTTTTTTGCCGTTTCCTAAATTATCTGTGTGTGTTTAACCTTGTACAGAGCCTAGAAATAAGTTTTATTTTATACTTATGTTTTGTATAATTTTGTAGTAGAAAATAAAGCCGAATTTCGATTGTTCCAATGACAGAAAGAAGTACATGTTTTTCTATAAGATCATATTTAAAGAAGCGTTTGTTTGCCTTCTATATCACGACAGACTGACTAAAGAGTCCCGACTCGAAAACTTTTTAACCTTCAGAACCTCCAGAAAAGTTTTCTCATCTCATAAATAATTACATGTATTTTAATGTATTTTGATGTATTTTATTATCATTTTTGCCAGTGTTTTTGAATGAAAGAAAAACAAGAACATTCAATAAAAATATTTAACCTTGTCGTAATTTCATCCTGACCCCAGGACAATAATATAAATATTTTCTACATGGGGGATGCTTGTAAACAAAATGAAATGTCATTTAAATTTTAAAGATAGAATCCATCTTCATTGACTTATTTGGCCTCTCGCTCTTGCTCTGTGATTTAAACATGTTTGAAAGTGAAACCCAATTTTTTTTTCGGTGAAAAAAGTAAAATATAATGATAGATAAACGACAGAGAACGGCAAGGGCATCTTCATCATGCACGGAAAATACATATTCTTCAAAGATATGAATTCTTTCTCATTTGGCTAAATTTAAGAATAAAAAATTCTTCCTCGTTTGGCTTAACTTTAGAATAAAACATTATTAAACATTGGCATAATCTATAATTAAATGTTGTTTTTTTTTCATCTCTGATATTCACAGTTTTAAATACCCCCTCCTCCATGAATTCGCTAAAAAGAAATTATAATTTTTTATTTACTCCGGGAGCAAGGCCCAGTGATTTAATTTCGATAAGTAAAAATAATACATGGTTAATTAGGATTACAAAATCCGAAAATACCATATATTTTAATAAATAAAGCATTAATTTTTTGTTAATTAAATTCTCGCTAATTAAATTGTTGCCATGTATTTTTAAATCATGTCTCTGAATTTTATATTTCCTCTAAAACTTTCAATTACGACCCTTTTCTAAATAACAAAATATAAAAGTAGTTTATGCAAAACGCAAGCACCTGCGAAACCATCACACATGCTTGCAAGTTGTTTATCAAATTTACGTCACAATAACACGGTTTTCTTATTGGCTGTTTTTCTCTTCTGCTATGAATATTCATTACTAGTTCACATGTTTGGGGTATGCGCAATACGCCAATACCGCAAGACCCTCTAGTGGATAATTGCTCAGCCCGCGCAGTGTTCGCTGTTCAACATTGTATTCAATCGTAATACAGATATAGTATAGTGGAGCTATATACATATTTACATCTTTCATCATGTCTATGGAAATGGCAAAGCGGATCGAGTTGGAGAAAAGGGGTAGAAAACCATCAGAAGTAAGTTTATATTTCATACCAGTCGTTATTTTAGCTATAAAAAGCGTCGTCACCACTGTTTACATTCATGGCTAGGGGAACATGTGCTTCACTTGGTCAAGAGGGGATGCGGTTTTTCTGAATTATCGACTCCCACAATAATCATAAATGAAAAGCAAGCATTTTAGATATGCAAGTTAAACATTTATACTTGATTTGCTGCTAATTTAAAATGATGTCGGGGTGTCATTCAGTTTCTTTGGACAACTTTTATTATCAGGACAACTGCAAAGGTCTACAAGTCAAATATGGCGCCTCTGTCATGTCCAGCTACAAGTTTGTGTTGAAAAAAAAGAGACAAAGTTAGTAATTGTGTTAGTTTCAGGTGAAGCAATTCATGGACTTTAAAATGAAAAATTATATAGTTTATCAGCTCTATACAAGTTGAAAAATTGGGATTAAAATGAAATGAGGCCTAGTATGGATAGCATCATGGTACATGTGCCAAATATTGACAAAGCAATGTCGTAAGGTGTATATGTTGAATTATAACAAAAAACACTATTCTTTAAGCTAAGTGGGCGACATTTTGTCCTGTCGTTGAGATGAGGAGGTGTCGTGACAGCTCTAATGCATTGTTTAACATCACTACAGACTACTGAACACAAGCCCATCGCCATGTTGGATGCACTAGAATTTATTTTTGAAAGAAATCCGCTGTAACCATGAAAATGCACACATATTTCACTGAAAAAGTCCAGCAACTAACATTTCAGCACACGGAGAAGCTTCCTATATGTGAGCGCCTCGTTGATAAACAAAATCACCGACTTGATCAACTTCCCTCGGCGTCAGGCCAGCTTGCACATACCCGAATAGGCCGCCATTACAATGTCTACTGTGAAAATGTGGTTTTCAGCCGCAAGAACATTGAAGTTCATCCAATGTTGTATTTCAAAATATGATTTTACTTATTGGAATTCATTTGAAAGCAGGAATTGTGTGTGGGGCTATTACTTAACTAAGTTATATTATGCGACGTATTTGACCTAGTTTTGTCGACATGCATGATGGTAAAACAGCGTCACCTAAACAACATTAATGGGATTATTTTTTTAAAAGAAAAATGTAATAAATTTGACAGACCAGAGTAAATAGTTACAATATTATTTTTGAAAAGATTGTCAAAAAGCACATTTAACTTTGATTTTTGAAAGTTTAAATCCCGGAACTATATTTAGAACGACCGGCTGTCATTTCCAGACGCCATCTTGAATTTTTTGAAGGCAAGAATATTTCTAAGAAGTTTCCACAATATAAGCATCTAATAAATGCTTGGTGCCTTGATTTTTCATGGATTTGTAATAGTCTATCATTTTAGAAACTTACCAAGCTTTTGAACGCGATTTTTAGTTGATCAAGTCGGGCCACAGTCACGAGTTTTTACGTGGCGTTGTTAGCAGTATGGCGGACATAGGCATTCTAGCCTTTGTTCATCGTTCAGTTTGCGATATACATACGCTACGAAAAGTAGGACCTGCATAATTGTGCAATGCATTTTTTGGACTAGGTAGAATTGAATTTTTATTTTAAAGCTCTTCAAATGGTATGGGTTTTTTTGTTGACAAATAGTTTACTCGCTTAATGGATACATTCATTTAATTGATTCACAAATACAGACGTCTCGATCTGTATAACGCCATCGCTTCCCACCCTTTCTTTGAGGAGAGGTCATGTGATCAATTATGCAAATAGAGGATATATTCTTACGCTTGAATAAAAAGTAGTGCGTTATAAATAATAACAAATGCACGTGTGTTTTATTTCTAGATTTTGGAACTGAACTTGGACAGCTGTCGTGCTCCCCAGATTGACGGTTTGACAGAAGAGTTCTCAGAATTAGAATCACTTAGCTTAATTAATGTTGGATTAACATCATTAAAGGGGTTTCCCAGCTTACCAAAGTTACAAAAGGTAGGTCTGGAATTCAATGGAACAAATAATTTGGACAAAAGGAAAATAGTTTAACTCTTGGAAATTCAATTGCATAATAACTAAAATATGATTATAAATTCATGTTGTCTATTTGTAAATCATTGTGACATAATTATTAATTATCAGGTGATTTTTTATTATTTAATTTACCAGGTCCAGTACAATCAGTACATTTAGCTACGTAGGTAGAATTATACGTAAATTCATAGCTTGATTTAGCTATTTCAATGTAACTTGTCTTTTTATGGAAAAGAGACAAAAAATCGCAGTTAAATGACTATTGATATTTATACTTGGGAGACTTTAAAAAACATTCCAAAGCAGAGATAGTTTGCTCAATTTAGAGCAAAACATGTAATTCCATTGTTTGGTTATCTGTTCGTGCGGTGAGGTATGACTGAGTATGATTACTTCACTTTGTGCTGAAAAATTACCGACCTATTATCATGTTAGCCAGAACTGGACTTCTTTGTCATTTCATTCAAGGAGTAACTGTTCTAACTGTCATACATAGCCCCAAAACTTTCAGAACTTTGATTGCAATTGCGCAGAAAAAGCCATTTCTTCAAGAGGGAATTTTTCATGAATTGTTTTCAGATGAGTTCAAAGTTGAAAATGATCACTGCATCAAAATGATAGTTTTTGCACATCCTGAGAAAAATGCTTTTTTATAGAAATAAATTCATTTGGTAGCTAAATCAAGCTACCTGAGGTAGGTAAATAAAGCTACGTAGGTAATTCTACCTACGTAGCTAAATGTAATGATTGTACTGGACCTGTTTACAGTTGGAATTAAGTGATAACAGAATCCAGTCTGGCCTTCATAACCTCCAGGGATGTCCTAACCTGACACATCTTAGCCTTAGTGGAAACAAAATCAAAGAAATCGACACTTTAGAACCTTTGGTATGTTATTGAAAATACTTCAACAATCATTGTTCAGTATTGATTAGAGAAATTACTAATTTATTTTAAAAATCAAATGTACCTAAAGGTAATCAAAAATGTACTTGTATAACAAACCCAAAAAAATGACACGAAAAGAAGTCAAATCATATATTGAAAAAGATTCCACTTGCAAATTTTGTTCTGTAGATTTAAAATTATTTCAAGTGAATAATTAAATATTTTTATGTACAATGAAACAAAAGCAACCTGAATTTTAATTTTTCCACAGAAAAACTTCAGTGAATTAAAGCACCTTGACCTATTTAACTGTGAGGTGACCCAGTTAGATGACTACAGAGAGCAGGTGTTTGAACTCCTCCCCAATCTTAAGTTCCTGGACGGCTTTGATAGAAACGACAAAGAAGCTGACGAGGATGAAGAAGATGGTAAATCTTAACTGTATCTTGCTCTTAGCAGCTCATGAGACTACTCAGATTTGCTTGAATATTATGAGCAGCTTGAAATAAACAGATGATTGTTTTCAATGTGATTAAACATTGAATGAAATCCTTTTATTCTCTTTACTGTTACAAGGAAACTATTTGAAAAAAGGCAAAATTTTGGTATTTAGTTTTTCAAATGTTTGGTTTTTCCACAAATACAAATGTATAGTATTGGAAACTTAAATGTTAATATTCTAGATATATATCAGTATAAAATGATGTTTTGTTACAGGTGAAGATGGGTCAGAAAATGAAGATGATGATGACGACGATGATGATGAATTAGAAAACGAAGGTAGAACTTGATTGATATAAGTACATATAAAGCCCTTTTATATATGCATGACATAAATAATGTTTACAGTAAAGAAAAACCAGGATAAGAAATAAATTAGCTTGTCTATCTAGTGGTACCATTATAATTTCTTGTCTCTGAACTGTGACAGGCTGGTTTGTTGTGGATTTGATTTACAGCATAACTATTCCTCCTTAAATTCATGTAGCTGCAGCAAACAAATCGCCAGAAAAATAAAATACTTGCAGCTGTAAAAAAAAAAAAGTAGTTCACTTCAAATGACACTACAGCCACTGAAATGAATGAAAAGTAGTCCTTTGTTTAATATTCTGTGTTTAGACAGTGAACAGGGGTGCTTTATTAATTGATTCTCAAAAACTCAAAATTTCAATATTCATTGTAATGTAACAGTGTTTTCCCTAAGATCTGGCCACTGGCCAAATTGACTTTCTCAATTTGATAAAAACTGTTCCTTCCATATTGATAAAAATGCTGCTTAGAGATACAAAAAAAACTAAAATAATTTTTGTAAGATCCACAGAAATTTTGTTCATAAACTACAACTCTATGACTTTTATAAAATTGATATCTAAGGCCATATAAAATTGAAATCTTGGTTCTCAGGCCCGCGCGCATCCGTTTTGAGGTAGCCGCATTGCCGATTTTATTGTATTTTTGATAAAATAAAAAGTTGGAAACCTAAAATCCGGGAAAAAAAATTCATTTGTTTCGTAGTTTAGTATTCAAATATCACTTCCGGTAGCCATTTACAATGAGATTTTGGCTACTTGGTTTGAAAATACATTCGATGGCATTACCTACGATGTTTACACGTTGTTAAGCAATGGATAAAGCAGAAATTTTGACCAGAAAGGGAAAGTATATCTGTGATTAAAAAAATTATCTTTATGTTAAAGAAAATTCGGAAATTAAAATTAAAAAAATACCTCCCTCATCTACTTTATTGCCAATAAAATGAAAAATAAAATGCCGCCCTCCCGCATCTGTTTTGGAGAAAATTGGCCTGAGAACCAAGGAATTAAATTTAGATAGCCTAAGCGTTTGATTTAAAATAAGGGAAAAAAATTCTTATGGAAATGTACGTGATTGTGGATAATGATATAACTGTACGTGATTGTAGATGATGATGACGATGATGAGGAGGGTGATGATGATGACGAGGAAGAGGATGAAGAGGAGGAAGATGAGGACGGTGTAGATGATGATGACGAGGTTGGTCTAGACTATCTCCAGAAGGAAGACATTGAAGTTAGTCATCACACATAGGCTAGATACAGCTCCGCTTCTGGTCACAGGCCAGAATTAGTCAATTACCATTCACTCTGTGTTTAAAGTTGACATGATACGATACAGTTTTACCTGTATGGTACAATGTCTACATTAAACACAGCTTTAAATACCAGGTCTTAAGAGGGCATCAAATTTAGTACTTTTAGTTTAAACTAGGAAGAAGTTGGCACATATTTACTTCATTTCATTTTCTGCACAGTGCATCATGTGGCAAATACAGAAATAAGTTCCTTGTAGGGTTTCTTTCATTTTTTCACCAAAAAAGGATGAAAAATATTAGTTTAGAAATGTTAAAATAAAGGCTGGACCAAGCCAGAAGCACAGCTGTATAATCTTTGGCCTTTAATAAATCCTGATTAATTAATTTTTCGAACTCGATAATAGTTAGAAATCAGTAGATGTAGAATTTACTAGTTCATCCCTGCAAAAGGACTCAGTGTAATAAGCAAAAACTGAATGTTTGGACAAGACAGAAGCATGTAGCTTTATCCTCCTTAAGTCTTTGAAAAAGAATTTACGTTTTGGGGGGTTTTAATGATTGTGTGGAAATCACATTCATTGAAGCTTACCATTATTATGTTACGAAAATTATTTGTTGACTATGGAGGAAGACCTTTTTTTATGCATATCATTTGTTCATAAGTTGTCTTGGTGAAGCACTTTTGTGCAACTCTTTCTTCAAAAAAAAAGTTATAATTCCTATGCTGCCATTTTTACAAATTTTTATTTGATTAGCTAAATGGTAAAAACAAAATAAAATCCAAATGTTGAATTAATATTTAATTCAAACAACAAAGAAAAAAGACTTTCTCCGGAAACTTGAGAGATTTCAGATTATCTGTTAGTAATTGTACTTTTTAATATTGACTTATTTTTTCATAATTTTTTTTTTTTTTTTTATTTTAAAGGATGACTCTGAGGGTGAGGATTTTGACCCTGTAGATGGAGAGAATGAGGATGAAGAAGGTAGGTTATTGGGGGGATACTTTATACAGGGAAATCCTCCTTCTCCTGTTTTATGTTTGTCCCTTTTGCTTTACCCACAGATGGGCAGACATGGCAAGTTCAAAGAACATCGTTCTTTCTTTAACAGAAATTAAAACGGGGCAAAATTGTTTGCAACTGTGAAAGAGCAAAAATAACCCTGTATATAGTAAATAATTTAAATCACTAACAATTCATTCAATTCTAAGCCGTAAATAAATAAGTTGAAAAGCATCATCTTTATGAATACCCTTTGTAGATCTGTATTAATATCCTTTGTAGAATATTACTGTTAAAGGATAAATTTTCTTCAGTGTTAAAACTAGAAAAAGTAAATCGATTAAAGGTTTTGCAGATGTGATTGATGTTCATTATTGATAGTGTAAATGATTGATTGATTGACAGTATTTATGATTGATTGATTTTGTTTTACAGAAGAGGAAGAGGAAGATGAGGAGCCCAACCGAGGCACCAAGAGGAAACATGAGGATGAGGAGGACGGAGATGATTGATCCCCCGTGGGGGGCCCCTGTCTGTAAATCCATGTATATTTGTACAGTTACTGATAAAACCATGTTGTTTGTTGACTGATGATAGCTCAGGTTTGCAGCACGTACACCATCTCACTGATGATTCCAGCCTACGAGTGCACTCGATCTCATCTCGCCTCATCCTGAGTGCGCTCGCAGTCTTCTGTTAACACTCGTTCTGATATTGAGAGCAGCTTTAGATCATCCTTCTTAAAAAGATACTTAACTCTTAAATATTGCGATCCAGAATTTTAGTCGAAAAATGGAACAAGAGGGAAAAACATTCTTCATGAAATCTGAAATGCATACAAATTTATTTATGTCTCATGCTCATTAGTCGTCATTGGTTAAAAGATCAATGGGAGTGAATGGAACTTTAAGTGCTGAATTTACGTTTTATGTTTATCATTATCACCTGAATTGTTTTCTTGTAAGATTGTAAAAATTACCAATGAATTCATGTATAATGTAATTGATATTTAATTGGCAAGAAAATGTTTGTTTTTATTATGACTGTTATTTAATTTAAGCTCTGCCAAGAACAGATTTTTTTTTCGTAAATGATTTTCTTCTCTGGTTTGTTAAGACTGTTACACATTATGCATCTAGGTCTTGAATTTGCATGTATTTAAATTAGGCTGAGATTATCCTGTTAGAGATTTAAATCAATAAAGTGAAAGTAGAAACAAATTGCATGCAAAATATTTTGAAAGAATTTTTATAGTTTAATATTATTGAATCTGTTTTATATGTTACATGTATTTTAGTGAAGACTATATTAAGTACATATCTAGGTTTTCCACTGCCTGTAAATGTTCATTAATTCAGCACTGAATGTTGAATGAAGTATCGATTGAGAAATTATTTTTTTTAAATGTGTAAATTTGTAAATCATCTCTTAGTATATCATTGTAAATGACATCAAACTTAGCAATTTATGTGTATAGAACAGCAAGAGGCATAACTCTTGCAGCATCTTGAAAAATTAAAAGGTTTTTATATTGACAGTGATTATCTTTCTTGAGGAGCCATGTTCTAAGGCTGGCTAAAGGGGATGGTTAGTAAAACCTGTAAGATTTGATGTGGAGTGAAACATTTTGCCACCCGACTTGTCCATTGATACTGTGATGGTAGTGAAAGCACAAACATATATTGGATAATGAGTGGTACAGCAATGTGTATGAACAAGTTGCTGTCCTTTAAAAAAGGATTACAATACGTGGACCATATGCATGTGTTTCTAACCGAAATTCAATTTATTAAAGAAAATTTCTAAGTTTATTGGATATTCATGTAGGTTAGTTCACATTTTCTACAATGTCATCTGCCTACTTTGACTGTTTTTGACTATTTTGATACATACCTGTATAACCCATAATGGTCGGGACTTTACATATAAGCATTAAATGAAAATTGATCTGATGGTACACGTGTAGCAGAACTCTATAGTACGCAGATTTTGTCGGAGCCCCCCCCCCCCCCCCCCCCTCACATGGAAAACTGTTGCTACAGACTTGTATCAAGCTGTATTTGGATTCCTGTATATCATATTATTATGCAAGCCTTGATGCTCAAAACTAATGCCTGTGAAGACTTGTTCTATTTTTCAAAAGCACCATAAGTTATCTTATATATATACTTATGAGAATGCTTGTGCCGTAGAATGAATGTTTAGTTATGTACATGTATATACATTAGAAATTTGGATCCACCGATGAAATCTCAATCGCATTATCTCGGTCTTTCCGTCAGAGGTCGTAAAGCTATTCGGAAAAACCGATTGGTGTAGTGGAGTCAGCCAAGGATTGCCATTTGGAAGTCTCTAGCATTATCGCGCATGCGTAGCCTGGCATAAGGGCAAACTTCGCTTATATATTCTTGGACCTTGCAACAAAAATTTTAGAAATGGGCATCTTTGATGATGTTGAATCATTAAATGAGTTGCTGAGTGAGTAAGAATCATCAATTTCCACTCCTCAACTTTGACATTCTTATTAAAGAGCACCATTAAATACTAAGGCATTTTGTTAATGTTCCTTGTGACTTGAGAGTTGCATCTTTGTAAGAGATATTCCTATGTACAAATGAAATGCTACTCGCAATAAAAAAAAATCATCTTTTGCAAAAATTTTGCAAGCTAGCATTGAAACAATGTTAATTGCCTTGATGAAGTAGACAATATGAATCGTACTGAAGTGCATGGTCATTCATTAAATCTTGTTTATATGAAGAAAAAATACTTTAAATCTTGTCACAAGAAAGAAGAGCTGCTAATTGCAAGGTGCATTTTACTATGTTTAAGGTTTTGCCAAAGGTCAACATGCCCAGCAATTTATTTTTACAATGCCTCCAAAAGTATGTGGTTTATAAAGTGAAAGCTTTTACAGTTAATAGATATATCATTGATTAACATGAACATCTTGATCTGTTGCAAAACCTTAAGTACACGGAATATATTTGGAAGAATTTTGGGGTAAAATTTATAACACTGGTAATGGTTTGCAGGGGATGTAACTCTCGGGCTACAACAATTTTAGATAATCTGAGAAAATAACAAAGCAGGAGAAGGAAAACAAACTAGCATTTTTAGCTCACCTGAGCCAAAGGCTCAAGTGAGCTTTTCTGATCACATTTGTCTGGCGTCTGTCTGTCTGTAAACTTTTAACATTTTCAACTTCTCAAGAACCACAGGGCCAATTTCAACCAAACTTGCCACAAAGAATCATCAGGTGATGGGGATTCAAGTTTGTTAAAATAAAGGGCCACACCCTCTTCCAAGGGGAGATAATTGTAAATTAGTGAAAAAATTATGACATCTTTGAAAAAAAATTCTTCTCAAGAACCACTGGGCCAGGAAAGATAAAACTTAAATGGAAGTATCCTCAGTTAGTATAAATTCAAGTTTATTCAAATCATGACCCCCGGGGTAGGGCAGGGCCACAACGAAAAATCAAAGTTTTACAAAGGAATATATAGGAAAAATCTTTTAAAATCTTCTTCTCAAGAACCATTGGGCAAGGAAAGATAAAACTTAGGTGGAAGCATCCTCAGGTAGTTTAGAATCAAATTTATTCAAATCATGACGCCCAGGGGTAGGACGGGGGCACAATAGGGAATCAAAGTTTTACATAGGAATATATAGGAAAAATATTTAAAAATCTTCTTCTCAAGAACCATTGGGCAAGGAAAGATATAACTTAGGTGGAAACATTCTCAGGTAGTGTAGAATCAAGTTTGTTCAAATCATGACCCCCAGGGGTAGGGCGTGGCCACAACGCAAAATCAAAGTTTTACATAGGAAGAACAGCAAAACCATGATTTGTTATATTTAAATGGAGGCACTACAGGTAGTTAGAATCAAGTTTGTTCAAATCATAACCCAAAAATAGGGTGGGGTCATTAAAAAATTTTTTAAAGTTCACCAGCTGAAGGCTCAGAAAACCTTATTCTGTATCACATTTGGAGTAGTCCGTCTAAATTGTTCAAATCATGACCCCCGGGGTAGGTAAACTTTTCACAGAGGTTTTTCTCAAGAACCACTGGGTCAATTTTAACCAAACTAGGTACAAAGCATCCTTGGGTAAAAGGGTGTTTGAATTTTTAGCTCACCTGAGCTGAAAGCTCAAGTGAGCTTTTCTGATCACATTTTGTCTGTCGTCCGTCTGTCTGTCTAGCTGTCTGTCTGAAAACAATTTTTCAAAATGCTACTTCTCCTACAGTTTTGGTTTGATTTCAATATAACTTGGCACACAAGTAGACTTCACTAAGACACATAATTGTGTATATCGGTTTTTAATTTCGACGAACTGCATGTATTGCCGGGAGATGACTTGGGAATTAATGAAAATTTTGTGAAATATTTTAAAATCTTCTTCTCTATAGAACCACTGTGCCAGGAAAGATATAACCTGGCACACAAGTAGTGACTACACTAAGTTTTTTCATAATTCTATTGACCGGTTTTTGATTTCGGGGCCAAAATGGCCGTGACCACAAAATTTACATAGAAATATATAGTGAAAATTCTTTAAAAATCTTCTTCTCTACAGAATGACAAAGCCATAATTTCAATATTATATGGAAGCATGCTCAGGTAGTGAAGATTCAAGTTTGTTCAAATCATGACACCCGGTTTTTGATTTGATAGGTGTTGTGTGGTTATTAAAAATAGAAATTTACATAGAAATATTTCAAAATTCTTTAAAAATCTGATTATAAAGAATGTCAAAGCTCAAGAATGTCAAAGCCATAATTCATCATATTTATATGGAAGCATGCCAGGTAAAATTGAAAATTCTGTAAGTTTTAAGGCTACTCCTACATTTGTAGTCTTATTGCAATCTTGCCACACAAAGTTTTACCTAGAAATATATAGGAAAATTCTTTCATTGCTTTTGTAAAGAATGAGAAAGCCATAATTCATCATATTTATAGAAACTGCTTTTTAGATTCAAAAAATATATCATATGAAGGTGTGCATATTGCTAATTTTTAGAAATATATAAAATTCTTTAAAAATCTTCTTTTCAAGAATGACAAAGCCATAATTCATCATATATATAAGGAAGCATGCTCAGGTAGTGTAGATTCAAGTTTGTCAAATCATGACCCCCAGGGGTAGGGCGGGGCCAAAATGGCCGACCAAAGTTTTACATAGAAATATATAGGAAAATTCTTTAAAATCTTCTTCTGAAGGAAATAAAATACATGTATTCAATATGCATATATATTTGAGCTTATTCTTTATTATGTGTAGTGAAGATTTTTTTGTTGGAATATTATCACACTGTAATGATGATTTTAAAACCTCATAAATTTTTACATAGAAATATATAGGAAAAAAAAATCTTCTTAAAAGAATGAGAAAGCCATAATTCATCATATTTATATGGAAGCATGCTCAGGTAGTGTAGTTTCAAATTTGTTCAAATCATGACCCCCCGGGGTAGGGCGAGCCAAGTAATGGCAGAACCAAAGTTTTACATAGAAATATATATATTCTTTAAAAATCTTCTTCTCAAGAATGACAAAGACATAATTCATCATATTTATATGAAAGTATGCTAAGGTAGTGTAGATTCAAGTTTGTTCAAATCATGACCCCCGGGGGTAGGGCGGGGCCAAAATGGCTGACTAAAGTTTTACATAGAAATATAAAGGAAAATTCTTTAAACATCTTCTTCTCAAGAATGACAAAGCCATAATTCATCATATTCATATGGAAGCATGCTCAAATAGTGTAGATTCAAAGTTCAAAACATGACCCCCAGGGGTAGGGCTTGGCCAAAATGGCCGACTAAAGTTTTTAAAGATTATATAGGAAAATTCTTTAAAAATCATGATTGGTCATGGGACTATTTTTGGATTTAAACTTTACAATAAAAAGCCATTTTATAAATTTACGACCCTTAGTGCTCAGATGACCTTTTGCCCATGGGCCTCTTCAAAATCAAAGGGCCAAGTCCCCTCACAAGGGGAGATAATCAAGAAAAGAAAAGAAATAGGGTGTGGTCATTAAAAATCTTCTCAAGAACCACTGAGCCAGAAAAGCTGAAACTAAATGTAAGGACAGAATTTGCTTATTTATGAAGACCTTTGACCTTTTGTTCAAAATCAATAGGGGGTAGGGCAGGGACACAAATGGAATCAAAGTTTTACATAGAAATATATAGGAAAAAATTTAAAAATCTTCTCAAAAATCACTTGGCCAGAAAAGCTGAAACTTATGTGGAAGCATCCTTGGGTAGTGCGATTCTAATTTGTTCAAATCATGAATCCCGGGGATAGGGCACAATAGGGAATCAAAGTTTTACAAAGAAATATATATGAAAAAAATTAAAAAATCTTCTCAAGGACCACTGTTTAATTAAATGTAAATATTTTAATAACCTTTGGGTAGTGCAGATCCTAAATTGTTTAAATCATACCCCATAAGTATAGCTCTTTAGTGTACAGTGTTTAGAGCTTCGATTCCTTAAGTCCCAACTGCTACTTTTATCCTTTATTATAAGTACAAACTTTTCAGGTGAGTGATGTGGCCATGGACCTCTTTTCTTTTTTATAGGAAAATTGCTTTCTATAGAAATCTGAATGGAAAAGCCATGTTTAGATATACTGATACGGAAGCACAATTAGGTAGTGTACATTCACATTTGTTCAAATCATGATTCCAGGGGGTAGGACAGGGCCAAAATGGTTTTTACAAAGGAATGTATATATAGGAAAAAAAATCTTCTGTTCAAGAATAGTAAAGACATTGTTATCAATATGTAGCATTCTTAGGTAGTTTAAATATTCAAACCCTACTTTTCAATACTGAACTGATTTGTGTTTTTTTTTTCTAGCAAATATATTCAGGTGAGCGATTTAGCCCATGGGCCTCTTGTATTACATTAAGATGAGAATTGACAACACAGTGATAAAAATATGTAACTTTAGAACCTGCCTTGTATTTTGGCGGGTTGGGGTGAAGGATCAAAATGAAAGAGAAAATGCCATTCTAGCTTGATTTGTTTCATATTAGTGTTCCCAAATGTGCTTCAATGGTTTGAAAATTTTAGCTCAACTCAATAATGTCAAAATGAGCTAATTCTGGACACTTGGTGTCAGTGATAGCATTGGCATTCCTCTTAAACTTAAGGTGCAAGTTCATTTCCAAGTAACTATAAGCCCTATTTGAATGAAACATAAATGATGCATCAAGGGAAGGACACAGCCCAATCTGCTTCAGATGCTGGAACTTACTGACAATTTCCAGATGATTTAAAGTAACTAATTGTCCTACCTGGACCAAAATTTCATGGATGATGCACATAAGGATGGACACTACCACTTGCTTTGGATGCTGGATCTGACAATATATATTTTCCAAATTTTGAAACGTGAGAGATAAATGTATTTTAGAGCATGATACTCCACTAATTAAGCTTTTTACCTTGACCAAATTAAACTTGCAGTGATGATGCTAAAATTAGGGATGGGAACTTTCGCCATAGTTTTTGAACCACAGGAGATAGAGACTTTATATTTAGACCTTACATGTTTAGTTTTTACAAATGACTGAACAAGGTCAAGTGACCTTGACTATATGCTATTCTTAAGTGTAACTTTGTTGCTGCCGGGCGCATAGTGTTTCTTGTTTTCTAAAGTAACTAAAGGTGCTACCTAGACCAAACTTTCATTGATGATGCATTTCGCTTTGGATGCTGGATCTGACCCTCATTTTCCAGATGATGGATCAGGTTAATTCATCTATTTTAGAGCAGGACACACTAAGTAACTATAAGCTTTACCTGGACCAAACTTTCATGGTTGATATCTGGACCAAACTTTCATGTTCCAGATGCTGGATCTGACCTTGTATTTTCCAGATGACTGACCAGGTAAAAATTTTGAGCAAGTCCATTCCTTTTTAACTATATTTTCCAGTTGAGTTAAATATGGATGTACACCAAAAACTGCTTAATTAAGATGCTAGATCTTTTCCAGTTGAGTGAATTTTAACCCTATCAGTACCATGGATGATGTATTGAGAAATGGACACTAACAGATTTGCTCAAGGTGCTGGATGTGATCAACATATTTTAAATGAGCAACCACTGGGTAATGTACTAGTATTTGAGGTAGTTAAGATTCAACTGGTGTTGTTGATGCAACTAGGGATGGATAATACTAGCAGACATGCTTTGGATGTTGGAGTTATTTGAATATATAGAACCACAGCAAATTTCAACCAATTTTGATATTTTCCTATGCTTTTGGGAATTAAGCAGATAAGTTAGTGCAAGGATCATGAAAAGCACAGATGCTTCTTCTTAATTATGAAATTCATGGTTCCTGGCCATAAGTCAGAGGTTCTTGTGTAAGAACACGGCTCTGTTGATCTTAAAGTGAAATCACAGCCTTTCCTTGAAAATCCTATTTTTGGATATTAAACAGAACAGTTAAATGAAAGATGTGGCGAGCAAGGATGACCATTAGAGTTTAAATGTATGGTGCTGGAGCAAGGATGGCTATTCAAGTTTTTGTGTGTGGTGCTGGAGCAAGTATTATTATTCTTATTTCTAGTTTTAGTGTTTGGTGCTGAAGAAGCAAGAATGACTATTCTAGTTTTGGTGTTTTGTGCTGGAGCAAGGATGGTTATTCTAGTTTTAGTGTTTGGTGCTGGAGCAAGGATGTCTATTCTTATTTCTAGTTTTAGTGTTTGATGCTGAAGCAAGGATAGCTATTCCAGTATTTCAGTGTTTGGTGCTGGAGCAAGGATGGCTATTCTAGTTTTAGTGTTTGGTGCTGGAGCAAGGATGGCTATTCTAGTTGTGGTGTTATTGTTAGAGCAAGGATGGCTATTCTAGTTGTGGTGTTATTGTTAGAGCAAGGATGGCTATTCTAGTTGTGGTGTTATTTTTTTTAACAAATATGCTATTCTAGTTGTGGTTTTATTTTTGGAGCAAGGATGCTATTCTAGTTGTGGTGTAATTGTTGGAGCAATGATGGCTATTCTAGTTTTAGTGTTTGGTGCTGGAGCAAGGATGGCTATTCTAGTTTTAGTGTTTGGTCCCTGAGCAAGGATTCTTATTCTAGTGTTAGTGTATGGTGCTGGAGCAAGGATGGCTTTCTAGTTTTGATGTTTGGTGCTGGAGCAAGGATGTCTATTTTAGTTTTATTTTAGTGTTTGGTCACTGAAAATGGATGGCTATTCTAGTTTTATTTTTTGGTGCTGGAGCAAGGATGTCTATTCTAGTTTAAGTCTGGTGCTGGACCAATGATGGCTATTCTTGCCAAGTGTCGAACACAAAACTCGTGGCTTGTGATGACATGAATATATAATGTGACGATGCTTAAAAGTCTGAAAAGAAGTTTTCTTCATGCTTTCAGAAAAAGTTATTCCTCTTTATTCATCACCTATGATAATGCCACAAAAAGGATGGCTATTAACAACTGTTAATTTTTTTGGAGGGTAAATTGAATAAAAGACTTAAGAATTGTTAATGTACATGTATAATCCAATAAAGTTTTTATGGTCAGTGTTTGGTCCTTGAAACAAGATGCCTAGTGTTAGTGCCACATGGTGCTCACATGAGCACTGATGTTTGGTGGAAAAATGTCTTTCTAGTTTTGGAACATTGTGGCCCCAGCAAGAATAGGAGTCATGCTTTGGTGTTGAGGTGCTTTGATATAAAAAAGACCACCAATCATAGCTTTGCTGTTCTTGAGAACATCTTTCCTACAAATTCCTAGTTTTATTTTAGTGACCATTTGGCCCCACCCTAACAAGGATAATGATTTGAAGTGTTTGGTCTACACTAGCAAGGATGCTTCAATATAAATACTGGTACATGATAATGACCAATCAGATGGAGAAGACCTTGTTTTGGTGATTCCTTTGTAAACTTACAGTCCATCGTGTTTACCCCCGGGGGTCATGATTTGAATACAATTGAATCTGCCTCACTTGAGAATGCTTCCACATGAGTTTCGTCTTTGCTGGCCCAGTGGATATTGAGAAGATTTTTTTAAAAAGCCATTAATTTTTCACTAATTATTCATAATTATCTCCCCTTGGAAATAAAATCATGCACACAAACCTTCGTCCCAAGGATACTTTGTGGCAAGTTTGTTGAAATTTGCCAAGAGTTTTAAGAAGAAGATGAAAATGTGAAAAGTTTACCTCTTTATTAAAACATCTATTATAGACAACGAATCCTTACAAATTTTGATCATAACAACTTACATGGTGTAATCGGGTGGGCTAAATATTGAATTAAAAGAATTATTATTCAGAAAGAGATGTTCTTCAAAGACCAATAGAGGTCCGGTCACTTATGTAATGATTTTCTTAAAACTGTAAAGTTATTAAGACACGTTTGTGATGTTCGTGACATTGAAAAATGTATTTTAATTCACTTCTAAATGCAGTATAAGAAACGATAATAATACAATGTATGTACAAGACTGTAAATGTGTATATCAGTATAAGTTATCTAACCGTGAAACTTTTTTTTTCTGTTCCAGTTGTTTAATACCATAATGTCACACAATTAATATAAACAGAATCAGAGTCAAACGGAAAATGGAAAAGTTATTTCTACATGTAAAATTTTTAAAATTGTAATGGAAAAAAGATTCAAAACAGAATAATTCATTCATCAGGAAGACATTCACATCCCGGACACCCGTGCTCGTCTTTGTCCGTTAGTCTGTATCCAGCACGACAGGTGAGCACGCAGTGAATAATTCCAGCACATTGATTGGGTGGGGTATGTTTGATGGATGACGTCATTGTGTAACCTACATAAGAAAATGGTAGCTGTAATCTGGCATTATAACAATTATGAGACAGTTTCAACACCCATAGTTTTTTTTTTAAAATTTATTTCATTAAATGATTTTATAACATCTATGATTACTGCATGCAGTTAAAATGGCATTATAAAAACATCTAGTCACTACACCATAATTGGTAGTTATACAGTTGAAAAGATATCTTTAAATTTCATACCAAACTACAGCATTGGATGATTTAAAAAGAGAAATGTGTTCACTACATTGGATAAACTACTTACTCTTATGAAATCCGTTTTTGGCTGAACACGCTGGTCCAACGCAATTTTGATTCGAAAAATGCGCATGCGCACCAGTAAGTGGTGGAGGCTCGTGGACGTTATGTGGTTTGTCAGGGCCATTTAAGATATTTCCACCAGGGCCGTGCAAAATGTTAAAATGAACTCCGGGTCCCGAAGGAACGCCTTGATATCCGGTATTAATAGTCCCGGATGTTTGAGCTCCGTTCTGAATTCCTGTTTCAACCAGCGATTGGGAACCGTGAGCACTTATTCCAACAGGAATAACATTCGGAACAACACTTCCTGTATTTATGTTTGTATGACTTCCGGAGTGTTCCGAGGGGATTACCTGTGGTGAATCTGTGCTTTCTGAAAGAAACAACCGTAAGCATTTCAAGAACAAGCAGCCTTCACGGCCATTTTCGGCCACAACATTTTATACATAGCGACATCAGATGTTTCTATGAAGAGTCTTTCGCTGTTTATTTCAAAGAAACTTTTTTGCCAACCCCCACGAAATTAAAGAAGAGTTTCTATCTTTTTCGAATCACAAGATAATCCCCATGCACTTGTTCACAGTAATTATCACAGAGAAGTGTAATACTAGTAGCATATCTTCAAAATTATTAAAACTTCAAAACAAAAGAAAAAGTTTTTAAAATAGTTCCAATTCTTTCTTGTTCCTCTTTTATATTTAATGGACAGGTGAAGATGAAAAAGTATTTATCTAAAAATGTTGAAAAAAAACATTGATAAAAAATGAAAAAGGCTATGTTGCAACCACTATTGAAATAACGACCATTATTGAAATGTTATATCAATAGTGGATGAAAAAGCATTTCAATAGCAAACATACTGATACCACTATTTACGACCACTATTGAAATAATTATATCAGTTGTTTGAAGTGCATTTAATACATTGTGTACTTCCTAACGGGTGTTAAGAAAGTTCGACCACTATTGAAATAATTATATCAATAGTGGTTCAAACGTATTTTTCACTAACAAACATATGTAATTCCCCAATTACAAATTCACTATGGAAATAATTATTTCAATAGTTTGAATAAATTTCAAGAATTGACAGTTATTTTTTTTTCATTTCAATTGCATAATGCTCAAGTCTTCAAAGAAAATGACAGAAATTTTTATTTTTTTTTTATCCAAAATTTCACAAAAATTGGATTTTGGGTGATAAATATATAGATTAATAATTATTTAATAATAATAAATAAATAAGGATGGTTTTAGTGATGCAAAATTTTGAACAACACATAAGTTTTTCAATTTCTTTATATTCTAAAAATTTATTATTTACATCATTTTCAATTATATCAGACCAAAAAATATGTACCAATCCAGGCATCCATATTTTGTTTGTATCATCTTTGCTTAAATAATCATAGATTTAGATAGTTATTGAAATTATAATTTCAAAAGTGATTTAAATAATTATTTTGATAGTTGCTGATAATACTTCATACCTAAAACCATAATTTAATCCACACTGAAATCTTTATTTCAAGAGTGAACATTATTTCAATAGTGGTTGCAACCTATGTTTGTTATTGAAATGAATGTCACCCATTATTGAAATAATTACACTGTATTTCAATAGTGGTCGTATTTCAATAGTGGTTATTACCTATGTTTGCTACTGAAATGCACTCTCAACCACTATTGATATAATTATTTCAATAGTGGTCGAATTTCAATAGTGGTTACTGACTATGTTTGCTATTGAAATGCACCCTCAACCAATATTGATATAATTATTTCAATAGTGGTCGTTATTTCAATAGTGGTTGCAACAAGGCTATCCTTTATTCCCATTTTTCGTCAAATGGCATCCATTATTATGTTTTCAAGATAAAAAGCAAAATGAATCTACTGATATTCTTTTTTTTCTATGTTAGAAGAAACCCCTTAATCTATCATTTTACAAGCATCGATTTAATACTTCCTAATAAATAATAGGATAAAATCGTCAAAGTTATACTTCAGTCAAAATAGATTTTATTGCTTACTGAAAATACAGTAAAACTCGATTATAAAGGAACTCTGTTATAAGGAATTTCGGTTTTAACGATATTTTCATGAATCCCCTGGACAACTTTTAACTATGTTTTTGCACGGAGATTAAGAATACATTCAAAGATCGAAGTACCAGTGACTTAAAAAAAACCCCACTTTTTACTGTAATTCTATTAGAAAATAAAAGATGAAAAGATGCACCTATACTGCCTGCAATACAGTAACATGTTGGACAAGTGTTCCCCGGTTCATTTTTCAATGTAAATCCGCCGCCACATTTCTCCCCACATCGGAACGTTTCTGGACACATCGTATGGATGTCAGGCCTGTGAGTCTGAGGCACAAGAGCTGTTGGTTTTACATGCACCACTACAATTAGGTAGATTAGGGTTTCAGTATCTTCACTGTTTTACGCAATGATTACACTGTTCATGTTCTGTGTGTCAATAGTTGAATGCTGAATGGCTAAACAAACCGTTTTAAAGTTATTTGAAAATAGTTCATAAATCCAATGTACTAGTAATTAAATCGTGGAGAGTTATACGTGTTAAAGATGCAAGCTAAAAAGCAATATAAATACATTATCTCTTAAGGAAACAAAAATCAAACAGGTATAATTGTAAGTCGGTCGTGAGTACATGTATGTAGCATTCATGTATAACAATGTAGCTGAAATCGGTACAGTCTGTGAACAAAAAATCTCAATACCACATAAACATATAGATTTTACATGACAAAACGCTAAGTTTTATACCCATAAAACTGTATACCCCCCTCCCCCCCAATTTTTGCACATTTGTAAAACAAACAATTACAAATTTTATATGCAATAGATTTAAATAGTAAATTATCAATTTGCCTACCTAAAGGATGTACAACAGGTGCTGCTGTGGACAATTTCGTTTCTGTTAGATGTGTTAGAGTGCCTTTAAAACAGAAAAGTAAATCATCAAAAATGGCTACAATCTATACAGGCATTTGAAATTTTACATGAAGCACAGATTAATAATAAAACGTTTCGTAGAGACGACGCACCGGATGTACATGTACAGGCTGGACATTTTCCTGCCTCGGTGCCAGTCAGGGAGAATCCTTTTGGACAGCTCTTTACACAGTGAGCAACATTTGTGCAGTACCGTACTAACATTGATATGGTGTTTTGCGAACTGATCTCACCTGGATGGAAAAAAAATATACTAAATAACTCTGAAAGTAAATGAACTTAATATTTGATTTCCTGTTATATCAACTAAATATTTATACCATGAGAACCAGCTACATGCGTGATCTGAACTGACGATCCTGATTGGTGGTTCGTTATCACGTGTCCTAAAGGAACAGCATGAGATCCTGATTGGTGATGAGGTACTATCACATGTTCAACTACCCCGGATGGGACATTATGATGTTGACAACCTTCATTTGTGCAGCCGTGAGATGAAATGGATTGTGATGCAACTGGATAGAGAAAACAATAAAACTCAAAGCAGCGCATGGTTATACTGGTAATTATTTGTGTTTATAGACTTTTCTGTAGTAAAAACCGGGTGAAAGGTGTTGAGAACAGGTCGTGTTATTCTAAGAGAACAGAACAAATGCTGTACAAAGTTCATCGACTGAAAATGATTTGTTAAATTATGTTTTGTGTTGAACATTCAGTAAAATATTTTTTTAACTATTATATCATTAAAACACACACATGAACTTTTTCAAGAAATTAAGATATATTGATGTTTACTCTGATTGTCACTACGTTAATTATGTACAGGTAGTAATGTTTTTCCCTTTGCATTGTGTAATAAGGTTTCAATTTTGATCATTAACTACAAGTAAAAGTTTTTTTAAAATATAATCTAGACTTGTTTTGAAACTCCTTCTATGTTTAAAGTGGTGAATTCGAGTGGCAAAATATTCTTTAAATGCATATTCTTTGCTATACCTCAATGTGCAAGGTGTCGAATAAGATCTCTGCCTCTGTGCTCCGTAGGGGTACAAAATGGTATTGTTTAGCTCACCTGAGCCGAAGGCTCAAGTGAGCTTTTCTGATCACATTTTGTCCGGCGTCCGTTTTATGATAACTGAAATCCGTAAACTTTTCACATTTTCGAATTTTTCAAGAACCGCTGAGAGAGCCAATTTCAACCAAACTTGCCACAAAGCATCCTTGGGTAAAGGGGATTCAAGTTTGTTCTGATGAAGGGCCACGCCCTCATTCAAGGGGAAATAATTGAGAATTAGTGAAAATTTGGTGGTATGTTTTAAAAATCTTCTTCTCAAGAACCACTGTGCCAGGAAAGACGAAACTTATGGGGAAACATCCTCAGGTAGTGTATATTCAAGTTTGTTCAAATCATGTCCCCTGGGGGTAGGGCGGGGCCACAATGGCCTACCAAAGTTTTACATAGAAATATATAGGAAAATTCTTTAAAAATCTTCTTCTCAAGAATGACAAAGCCATAATTCATCATATTTATATGGAAGCATGCTCAGGTAGTGTAGATTCAAGTTTGTTCAAATCATGTAAAGGGGGTAGGGCGGGGCCAAAATGGTCGACCAAAGTTTTACATAGAAATATATAGGAAAATTCTTTAAAAATCTTCTTCTCAAGAATGACAAAGCCATAATTCATCATATTTATATGGAAGCATGCTAATATAGTGTAATTCAAGTTTGTTCAAACATGACTAAATTTGCAAAGTTTTACATAGAAATATATAGGAAAATTCTTTAAAAATCTTCTTCTCAAGAATGACAAAGCCATAATTCATCATATTTATATGGAAGCATGCTCATGTAGTGTAGATTCAAGTTTGTTCAAATCATGACCCCACGGGGTAGGGCGGGGCCAAAATGGCAGACCAAAGTTTTACATAGAAATATATAGGAAAATTCTTTAAAAATCTTCTTTTCAAGAATGACAAAGCCATAATTCATCATATTTATATGGAAGCATGCTCAGGTAGTGTAATTTCAAGTTTGTTCAAATCATGACCCCACGGGGTAAGGCGGGGCCAAAATGGCCGACCAAAGTTTTACATAGAAATATATAGGAAAATTCTTAAAAAAAATCTTCTTCTCAAGAATGACAAAGCCATAATTCATCATATTTATATGGAAGCAATGTTCAGGTAGTGTAGATTCAAGTTTGTTCAAATCATGACCCCCGGGGGTAGGGTGGGGCCAAAATGGCCGAAGTTTTACATAGAAATATATAGGAAAATTCAAAAAAAAAATCTTCTTCTCAAGAATGACAAAGCCATAATTCATCATATTTATATGGAAGCATGCTCAGGTAGTGTAGATTCAAGTTTGGATATATCCGGGGGTAGGGCGGGGCCAAAATGGCCGACCAAAGTTTTACATAGAAATATATAGGAAAATTCTTTAAAAATCATTTTCTAAAAAATAGCAAATCCATGATTGGCCATGGGACTACTTTTGGATTTAAACTTTACAATAAAAAGCCATTTTCTACTTTTTCCAACCCTTAGTGCTCAGGTGAGCGATGTGGCCCATGGGCCTCTTGTTTATCCTTATAACAAAATTGTCATAAGAATGCTTGTAGGTAGATTCCGGATTTTATGATAACGAAATAGTGAGGGGAATGTTGCAGGCATGTTCTACTTTTTGAATACTTAAACTGAGAGAGCTTTCATGGACAAGTTAGTATCATATCGCGATTTATACAGGGAAAGCTATACGATATATATTTTCGTAATTCATACCTTTAATAAATTATTCTAATGAATGCAATAAATATACTTCTGATGCGTACGTTGACTAATAGTGAATGTATATTGTGTCTTTAGATGCAAAATAATATTCCCTCTTCAAGTTCTATTATGTCATATTTTCTACAAATATCTTAAAGTCATACCCATTGCAGCCCTACACAAATGCTGCATCGTTTGATGCATTTTCCGTTATTTTTAAAGCTACTAGTATATTACTTTCTGGATCAGTGAATTAGATGACAGAAACCAGAGAACATGTTTTTATTTAAAAAAAAGGTTTTTTTATGATGTTTAAATATGCATGTTTTTTTTTTACATTTAAAGGTCGGTATACACGGTAAGATCTGTATTATAAGATTTGTATTATGATACAAAATCTTATTGTGTATACACTCTTAATACAGTATATCATAAGATTTTTCGAATCTTATAAAACTGTATTAAGAATAGAGCAATGCTCTATTTCCTAATATAAGTCTTAACTTACCTTTCACTTTTAACCAATGAAATGTAATGACACTATGGGTCATCCTATTTTTATCACTACTAATAAAAGCACATGGTAAATAATAATGACTGACTTTACAAGTAAAGGCATTGGAAAACTCGTGGTTTTATGGAAAGGGGAAGAAGTCTTGTGGAATATATCAAGCAGTGCATAGTTCGATGATAGACACTGCTATCAGAGCCTCATCCTCCATTTTTATTATTTTGCCAGAGAGAGAAACATGGCGGGGAAAAACACGTTGGAATACATAGTTTATTTACAATCTTATGAGATTTGTATTAGCGTGTGTACAAGAAAGTATTATAATACAAAAGTATTATAATAGTTGTATTATACTACAAATCTCATCGTGTATACCGGCCTTAACAGAGCATATTTCAAATGCTTTGGCCTACATTTACAAAAGTGGATAGGGTTTACAATGCTCCTTGCATGGATCAGGATACCATCTTTACTCTGTTTGCTGCATTATCTGACTAATAATAGTGAAAACTGGTCCAACAATGACTAAATTTGCAAATTTATATGCAACAATGTTGGAACAATACGCATATTGGATTCTTCACGTGATCTACACTCCGAAGTTAAAGTATTATCATGAAGCTTTCATCATAAAGACAAATCACATTTCAGAGATGGTCTTACCCAAGAAACAGACATTGCAGCTACAATGCATTATAACTACCATTTCTGACAAAAGGTGTTAAATAACTTTCGACTATTGATAAGCGAGATAACAGTTATTTGTTCTCCAACAAAATGTATTGAACAAGAGGACTCTAAAGGAAAATCTTCCTCCTTCTAGAGCAAACATTTTATCGGAGTAGTTCCCCTCTCTGCTGAAAATTGCTGTTTGAACATTAAAACATGTTCTTAGAAAAATGCTTATACAGACAAAACTCCTAAATTGTTATCTCGAAGTTGAAGGGACCAAGAAAACTTTGAGATATCTAAGAAAAAATTGGTTGAGGATCTCTAAATACTTGGATATATCCATGGTATTTGAGATTCAAGATACCACAGGACAACTCTCGTACTCTGTATTATTTGTTTTTATACTTTGCAAGAAATAAACACTTGACATAAAATGTTCGAATAAATTAATTATATACAAGTCTTTTCTCAATCTGATTAAAATTAGATCTTTGTAACGTTGCGAAATTCTGATGGTTGTTGCTTTGTACAGCGACCATCAGAATTTCGGAGCATAACAGAGATTTGATTTTAATCAGATTGGTATGTTCTTTCCATCGAAATTAATCATTAATCATCATCTTTTTACATGTCTATATCACAGGCACACCCCTTTACGAGTCTGAAAATATTACAATATTGACAAGAAGAATTCTGGATCTTTTCAAAGCTAAGAATACTTTTAGCCACTTGGTCAAATTGATGCTTGTGTTAAGTTGAAAAGGAATTTTAATTTTCCAGTTTAACGAACCTTTAACCGGAACCAAACATTGACACGTCGGGCAAGAGTTATCTCCACTTCTGTAACCGAATTCACATCGTTCGGAGCAGGAAAAGTGGGCATTACAGCGGATTGAGGATTCAACATAGATGGCGCTGTGAGTCGCTAAGCCCACCTCTGATAGGTTAAAACAAAAATAATGAATATCTTGAGAAATACTTATGAAATTAATGTTCAAATATCAAATTTTGAATTATTTCACAACAGTCACTGTTAATGTTTTTGATTATTTAAAAATCATGCACACCAAAAGGAGCATCAGATGCGCAAAATTAGGATTTTCTTACACAATACAAACCTGATGGAATTACACATGAGCAAGTGGGACATCCACTACCTCCATTTTTATAGCCTAACACACAGCCCCGGGGACAGGACAGAGCCGTTGTACAAACAAGTGTCTGAACAGCAACTGTAACAAACTGGCACCGTCAATTTAATGGAAGAGTACATTAAATGTACAGACAAACCTTGAATCTCGAACCTAATGGGACTAAAGAAAAACTTCGAGACATTCTGGACAGTATTCGAGATACTGAGGGTAAAGTACTAAAGAATAATTATTCCCACTCAGATCACTTTGACATCTTCATGGTATGTGAGAAATCAATGTTCAAGATACCAAAGTTTAACTCTAGCAAAAAGAAATGGTTATACATGTATTAGCTCAACTCAGAAATAAGCAAACCTGTACTTGGGTATAGTAAATCAAGAAAACCTCTCTTGATACACAATTAATTTTAGAAAAGTAAAACAACAAAGAAAATCATATAATTTGATTTTTTCTTCATGAAAATGTTATATACCCTGTAAGTGGACATTTTAGCGAGACGCAAATTTAGCGATTTGTCCTTAAAAATGCAAATGCGTATTCTATTTTTAGCGAAGAGTAATTTTAGCGATATTAAAATGCTCACTAAAGAAGTCATTACAACTAAAACGCAATAACTTTTTAGTGATATTCAATTTTAATGATCTCAGCACCCTCGCTAATAATGCCAAACTTAAATCCTCGCTAAAAATTCTGCTTATACGGTATTTTGAACCTGTATGACATGTGCAACGAGGGCATTCCTGTCCAGCAATACTTTGGATAGAGTATCCGGTCCCACAATTTACCATACAATGAACGGTTTCCGGACAATTCCTCAGGATGCTGTAGACGTTTGGTTTACTGGTTGTTGTTGCGATCATTGAACTTTCTGTGCTTCGTGGCGCTAATTTAATGAGATACAAAATATGAAAATTGACAAAGATTTCCTTTTAATATTGGCATGTGTCATATTCTCGAATGTAATAAATGTTCAAAAGATTATTAGTGCTTACGTGGAAGACATTGACATAGAGGGCATTGTTTACTTCCGGTGCCCTTGAGTAGGTAACCATAGCGACAGTTGGTCATACACCTCACAACATTATCCTGACAGGAATGCTGTTGTACAACCACTACTTTTTTGGTAACGACAGGTTGTGTTGGTGCTGAAGATGAGAATGTAAATCAAAACGATTCATTTGCTGGCGATAACCTATCATTTTAACATCTTTATCTAAAAACTGAAGGTACAGCTCAAAGTTAGAAACAAGTTTTCGATTACATTTGCATGCTATATCATGAAATTTGGAGGTAAAGGGTTATTGAAACCGATACACTAAATCACTAGATTTTTTTGATAAAAGGCACGGTACATCATAACATATTACAATCAAAGCACTGAAAGTACTGAAAGCCTGACTTTATTAGAATTATGCATTGGGTTCAAAATATAATAAAATATTTTTCGTTTATAATCGTTTTTTTCTGCTGCATGTGTTGTCAATCTCAGCTTGTCAAATCTTTCGAAAAATTTTCATTTTAGCCATTTTGTTATGTATCCTCCATAGACTTGGGGAAAAGGTAAGTGAAAACTTTTATAATTTTTAATTTGACATATTTTCTACATGTACTACTTTCCTTATCTTTCATCAATGATAATTGTACGCCAAATTCTCAACACCCCAGTTCGCGTACAGTTGTGTGTGTGTGCAAGATGTTTAAACGTGAAAAGAAATTAAGTATCTATTTCTCTTGTATTTTTATTCTCCAACAAATCTCATATATCATCTACCGAGGCAGTCCAGTAATTTTATACGTTGGTATTACTGCTTTTGCGCTTTTTTAATGTTGTCATTTACAGCAAGGCATGTGTTAGCTTTACTGTATACTGTACTGTAGGCACTTTCTAAAAAGCCAGGCTAAAACAAATTAGTTAACCTAAGGAATACCTGGCTGGCATAAACAACTGGCACACTCTCCTATCGTGGAGGCTGGAATGAGCTGGTAACCATAGCGACAGTTTCTTTCACAAAGTTCCATAATCCTCTGACAGGAAGACTGTGTGACTGGAGCAGGAGTAGTGATAGGTGGATCTAAAGTTATAAAAGTAAAAATTTCAAGAAAGTAGATGCACCGATACTTTAAATCAATATTTTTGATTGTGATTTACAAATATCTATAATTGATGGTTTATGACCATTTACTGTTAGTGACTAATACTCTAATCTGATGTTTCCTATCACTGCCTGAATGAATTAAAAATAAAAATAGAATTCAAACCTGTTTCTAATTTTTTTTTTCCTAAAACAAGCGTGTAGTATACATGGACACTTTTTCAATTTGCGTTTTAGACAAAAAAAAGTCATATGGGTAAGAATGTTGTTGAGGATTAATTTTGCATAAACAAAAAGACAAAGGATGTTTTATAGTTGTGTTTTATACAACTTTTTCCTCTGCAGGTTATCATATTGAATGGTAAATATGCAGGGCTTACTTGATTTGCAAGAGCAAGGTGGACACCCTGATTCGTCTGCAGCACCCAGCACATACCCCTCTGTACATCCCATCATACAAGTAAGTAATCGATCGCAAACTTCATGTCCAGGTGTAGACGTCGTTCTGATGTCTAAATATGTATGATTAGCAATAATAAGCGGTCCATAGACCACAGCGCTCACCTGAGTTATGTGTAAATATAAGCGCAAATATAGAAGCATGTCGGACACACTTCGAAAAGAAAAGCTCATATTAGTTTCCAATGTAGGTTAACTTAAAAAAGATATTTCAACTTCACAATTTAGATAACTGATAAACTTCAAAAATCTACATGGCTTACGTCACTAAGAAAAAATTACCTGATTTCACGCATGCGCATGAAGGACATCCGTCACTTCCTTTCGGTCCTAATTTGAGATCGTGTTTACAAGTCTTTACACACAGAGTAGTAGATTGACAATCTTCTTCCTTTGGTTTGACTTCACCGAGCAGTTTCATACCTTAGTTAGCATGGAATAGGATTAATATTTTATTGTTTTTTTATTCCACAACATGAAAACATTAGCAAGAAATGTCCTACTATCAATTTAATATTGCGTCATCGTATTTGAACATGTTAAAAAAATCTGCAAGATTTTGTTGCAAAACGCCTCAAATAGTTCAACACACATTTATACTAGAAGTTCCAAAAATCAGTCGTTGACGTAAAACAAACTGTTGCACTTAGTGAAAGAGCTTAGTAAAGTTTCTGAACTGTACAGAAGAATGCAACATTCGAGAATCAAAAAATTCAGCAAAATAAACAGATACCATTTTTGGCTGAACACTCTGGTCCAAAACAGTCTCTCCCTGTAAAATTAATCAAATATTTCATGAAAGGCGTTTTCAATGAACAATTTAAGTGTAAAAGAGGGCTTCTTACTTTATATGTACTATGTAAATGATAAAAGATAATATCCTAGGTATTTAAATGGGAAATTTTGATTTTCTGCTATAAAAGTTAGTATACTTTGTTGATATTTTGGAATTTTGAAAAACCATGAAATATATACTGGTGTCTCATTATATCGCGGTACTTAAAACTTTTGCATAAAATATTAATTCCAAATTTTTACTTTAACTTTCATCAAATGATATTCATAAACCAAACTATGGCCTAACTTTTTAGTGTCAAATTATTTCTCCAGCTTGCATCGTTTAACTTGTAGTCTTTTTATAAAACAGGAAGTCTTATTTCCCTCCTAAATTGGAGAGTCTCATAGTATCACGGTATGGGAAAACATGCTAACTTGTGACTGACACGGACTTCAATTCTTATTTTTCATTTTAAGATGTAATTCTGCATAAAAAATAAACAATTTTACAAACTTAAGACTATCAAAACATGAATTTTATTATGGATTTTACTAAATTATGAATTCAGTGGTCTAAATATAATAAAAATGTTAATGGAAATCTGTAGAATTACGTTTTATTTGAATAAAAACTTTTCCGACGCATGTTCCATTCTTTTTAATCATCACAAAAATTTACATTCAGACGACAGACAGATACTTTAATCCAAAAAAATTATATGAGCTAAAAATCTGATTTTTTGGAATATACCGCGATACAATGGAACCCGCGATATAATGAGAATCAAGTATACTTGTAGCTACGCATTATTTTTCCAGGGATCGAGGAAAACTGACCTGGCTTTCCATCTCCGCCCGCGGCCAGTCCAAACGGACTCATAACCATCCCACCGGAAGTTCCTCCGCCGCCAAATGGACTCGGCATACCAGCCCCTGTTTTAAAAAAAAATAATGGAATGATACTAGTATTTAAAATTCAAAGGTGCTGACTTGGGTTTAATGTGTTCAAACTGAAACAGAAAAACTGTTTATTGTGTTCACAATTATTATCTCTATTTTAAGAAAGTTTGATATAAAAAAAAAAATTAAGGGAAAAACACAACTGTCGTATGAAATACAAAATTAAAACTTTTCTTGCTAACTATGAAATTTCAATTAAAATTGATGAAACATTTGTAAGGCATTGCAAAGATAGGATGATTGATTGTATGATGTTTAACGTCCCTCTCTAGAACCTTTTACTCAAATCAAGACGCCACTACTTGCTTCACATTGTTCGACATTCACTTACGACCATTGAGGGATCTTTTTCGTGCCAGCACCTACTGCGACACGGGACCTCGGTTAATATGGTCTCATCCGAAGGACCGTTCTCCACATCCCTCAGTGGGATTCGAACCCGCGACGTAAGAATAAACTCCTTTTTTCATGACTCTAGAGAAGATGCTGTAACCAATGCGGGCGACTGCAGAGAAATGAGTTTATTAATATCTTTGCAGTCGCCCGCTTGGTACAGTAGTTATAGAGCGTCCACTATGGGACGTGGAGTCCGGTCCTTGGGATGAGACCGTGTAAACCGAGGTCCAAATACATGAGGTTAGTATTTTATTCGTCCTTAAACATGTTCTTTTTCGAGTCTAAATGTAAATGACAGAAGAATTATGTAATTTTACAAAAATATTGGGAACAATTAAGAATGCTTATGTAATTGTTTTTTATAACGTTGAGTAAAAATGTAAAACCAGATATGAAAAAATTGTTTTGTTTTGATGAAAAATTACATCATCTGTGTAACATGAAATTTTTTGCACCATTACATCTTTTTTTGTGAATTATTCAGCTTATTCAATTGTTTCTGGAGGAATAGGACCAAAATATCGAAACCCATCAAATCCAATCAATCGGAACTCCTCATTTCCAACAATCGGAACCCTTTTAATCTGTTTGTAAACAGCTTAAATGACATTTTGATAAAAATAGATTAAACTTCGAGGATATGGCAGTCTCGGCAATTAAGTGTACTTCCTCAGAGAGCCAATCAGTCATTTCTATCTTTCTAGCCAGATAGTTTGGAAAAATTGAATTAAATTTTCATGAAATTTCTGCACCAAGACAGGCTTGTCTATCAAAATGTCTAATCTCCATTGTTTTACAGCTTGAAGAGGGTTTTAGTGAGGAACAAATCAAAGTCAATAGTCCATTTATGTCTCATGCAACTGAGATTTAAAGCTGTTGACAGAATTTTAGGGCATTTTTCCACAAGGAACAAATTGATAAGATGGATTGCGCAATAATTCCTTACTTCACGACTCGAGAGAAGACGCGCTAACCACTGCGGACGACTGCAAAGAATGAGTTTATTAAGGTCTTCCGTAGACCTTACTGTTATTCTTAAGTTTCTTTTCAACATTTTTTTTTACCGATTTTGTGCACGCGATTTCTCGAAAACAACTGGCTCGATTTTAATGAAACTTTCAGCTCTGATAGAACATGAAAAAATCTAGATATATATATGACACTTCCGGTTCCGAGATTTTTGCATTTTAGTGAATTTTGGAGGGTTGGTTTGTCCGCGAAATTTTTCGAAAACGTCTAGATATAGAAACTTGAGATTTTCAGTGACAATAGAGCAATAAATGTAGATGTGCTGAACGTATTTCATATTCACCGAAATTGCTGCGTACAGAAGCTCGTTATGGACCGAAAAAAAGGCATTTTCAAATCCTCTTTTTTTTTTAAATCCTCTTCTACAATATTTCTAAATCTGTAAATAATTTCTTATGGCAAGTAGAACAAAACTGGTTCAAGATCACAAGATCCTTCATCCAATATCACAAAAAGGGGCTGACCACAAAAATAAGGGATTTCTTTACATCTCAAAAACTATTTAGAATTTGTAATATATTAAAGAAGCAAAGTTGTTCAAAATATCAAGAACAGTCTATTAAGATCGTCAAAATGTGTCCGATGACGTCACTCCCGGCCACACCGGAAGAAGTCAAAAAATGCATATTTTTGCAATTCTTGACACATTTTTGGGTAATATCTTTCACTGGAAGGATAAAATTTTTAGTCCGTTGACATCACTTCCGGTCGAACCGGAAGTAGCAAGAAATGGCTTACTTTTGCAATAATCAACATAGATTTGGAAGATTTAAATCATTGGAGACGTCATTTCTCTTTTTTTTTTAAATAAAAGTTAACTTCCGGTGGAACAGGACGGAAGACCTACTCGTTGTTTGGCAACGAGCTTTGTTCTAGTTATTAATATCTTTGCAGTCGCCCACTTGGCGTAGTGGTTAAAGAGCGTCTGCTCTAGAATCGCGAAGTGAGGAGTTGATGCTTACGTCACGGGTTCGAATCCCACTGTGGGACGTGGAGTTGGTCCTTCGGATGATCGTATAAACCGAGGTACAAAGATATGAGGTTGGTATTTTATTCGTCCTTAAACTACATGTTCTTTTTCAAGTCTACATGTAAATAACAGACTGGAGAATTTTAATGTAATTAAACAAAAATATTGGAAACAATTGAAAAAAAAAACTGTAAAAATGTCATTTTTTTTCTAACGTTGAGTAAAATATAAAACATATATTAAAATTATGATAAATTGTTTTGTTTTGATGACAAATCACATCATCTATGTAACATGAATTTTTGCACAATTACACTGTATACTATTTTTTTGGTCAATTACTCAGCTTATTCAATTGTTTCTGGAGAAATAGTACCAAAATATCGGAATCCATCAAATTCCATCAATCGAACTCTTCATTTTTCCAACAATCGGAACCCTTTTAATCTGTTTGTAAACGGTTTTAATGACATTTTGATAGAAATGGATTAAACTACGAGGATATGGCAGTCTCTGCAATTAAGGTGTCTTTTCTCAGAGAGCCAATCAGTCACTTCTATCTTTCTAGCCAGATAGTTTGGAAAAATGAATTAAATTTTCATGAAATTCCTGCACTAAGACGGGCTTGTCTATCAAAATGTCTAATCTCCATTGTTTTACTTCATGAAGAGGGTTTTTAATGGAGAACAAATCAAAGCCAATAGTCCATTTATGTCTCATGTAACTGAGATTCAAAGCTGTTGAAATAACTTTAGGGCTTTTTTCGGATTTTTCCGCAAGGAAGAAATTGATAAGATAGATTGCGCAATAATGTTATTGACTTAAACTTTTTTGAGACCGATGGGTTGTTTTCTTTTCTCTTACTTTTCAACTGTTAATATAAGCAGGCGGGGACTATTACCCTAGAGCCATAAAATGTTTCATAGCAATGACAATGGCAAAAACCTTCTTCCATCAGCAGGTGGTAAAATGCTACCAGGTATTACATTTTCTGTCTATGGTCCTGAGATAATTTATTTACAATTGTGCAAAATTTCCAAATATTTCCATTTCAGGATAGAAAACACCACCACATAAAAATTAAGGATACCCAGTACCACCACTGTTACCCTCTTTCGGTGATCTATTCATACATATTACGTCATACCACTTGCTGATCCCGATCCCGATCCCATTCCTGCTCCAGGAAACATCGGATTAAATCCAGAACCTAAATAAATGCTAGTAAGATCATTATCATTATAGATCTATATTAACATTTTGTCTTTATGCATACGATTGTTTCACTTTTTTATGGGTGTCCATCATGTGTTTAAAATTCTAGATCAAAATATATATATCACTAATTTTATGGTTCCACGATAATATTTTATTTTCTTATCTTCATTCTCTTCCTGGTTTCAATGACAACTATCAAATTTTTAAATACCTGATTCACTCCCAGCTGCTCCCCCAAATGGACCTTGACCTCCAGACCCTAACCCGGATGACCCACTTCCAGCACCATTTCCGGAACCACTTCCCGGATTCTTATTTCCAGTTCCGTTCTTCATCATTTCTGTTCCAATTTGTCCCGTCTGTTTAGGTGTGTTTTTGTTATCATCTATAAAATATCATTTGCATCTTTACAGAAATATCAGCCATTAAAATTAATGTAATGATTTTGAATATGTATTTGTATTAGAAATGAAGTTCAATATCAATGAAAATTATGTCAATCGAATTTATTAATTTGTTTCGTGTGAAATGGTATATAGCTAAATTAGTTGAGAGGTTTTTTTGTCTCTAACATTTTAGCATGGCGTTGCAACATGCCATTTTTGTGTGACGTCATTGTGCCTTTTTTGCAACACCCGCCATTTTTGTTTATAATGATGCCCTTTTGTGCAGCACAATGGCTTTTTAGTGCTGCAGTGCTTGGTTCTTTTTGTACCCCTTTGAGCTGCCCCAATAATTAAAACCTTATTCACCTTTCTTGACACATTTACAGGTCTGACACCCGTCCTGTCCTTTCTTGCCCAGCTCGTACCCCTCCTTACACGACAACATGCAGATCAGGGTGTGGATACACTGCTTATCCTTATCTTCCTCCCCCTGTTGCTTATCCTTCTGTTGCTTTTGTTCCACGTGACCTGATGCTTGCATACCATTGGCTGTGCATATAATAGATGAAAATCTTTTAATGATTTAAATACTATTATGTTTTTCGATTAATCAATTTGAAATTTATTTTTAATTGAACTACGAAATACATAGTGTAGATTTGAAATGATAGAGACATAAAGTATAATTTTACTAGGAATTTTTCTCTTTCTAGAAAAATCTCGCAAAACGATATAGTCACAATACCTGGCCCACATGGGCACGTCTCGCAGCCATTTTGGTCGATCTCGTGACAATACTGTGGACATACGATATTTTTTAGACACTGTTGTTGACCCATGTGAAGTTTTCCGTTCTTCATAAACATGGACGGCAGCCCATTTCTTCCGCCCCCACCAGTCATTCCCATCATGCTCTGCATGAACCCCCCGCCCCCGCCGCCCCCTTCCATAGCACTGATTGACCCTGAGTATGGCGTCTCGAAGAGTGAGTTCCCCTGATTAAATGGGTTTACAAATGGCGGCGGATCTTGCCCCGTGGGACTTGAATCTGGGGAAAACAATACAAAACAATAACGGTAATTCGATTAGCCTCTCCTCATAATTAAATTTGAGTATTTCTTCCGTAAAAGTACTTATTAACCTATTGGGAAGTTTCAGTGATGTACAGAAAATACCTTCTGCATGCAAGCGCTATGATACCTATATTGCATGCCTTCATCAAGTCATAGAGTTCGTAAATTTACGTACACTGGAAATTGACAGGAAAACAAATACTTGGAATAGGGTTTGATTTTTTTCATTTTAATAAAAACTACTGTGAATTTTAGAATAAAGGTTTTTTAAACAGTGATGAAAAAAACCAGGATCTCGCTTGTACGCAAAAACTTTCATTTAAAAAGAAAAAATTAATCTAACTTTTGATTGTGTGGAGCCTATATGTTTTTGGTTTTCATTCGTATGTATGTATTACTTATGACAAAACTCTTGTTTGAGCACCATTTAACATTTTTGAATTCTTGACCGTGGAATTTGACCCACATTTGCAAAATTTTACCCCGATTTAACTTTGACTATATAACATTTGACTATATAACATTTGAACGAATTGTTTCTAGGGCATTCGCACTTAACAGGTATATTCACTGTAAAAAGGTCTTATCTTGGCTTTAATTATTTCTTACCATTTGACCTTAGCGTTGGAGGTTAACCCACATTTTAAAAAAAATAAATTTAAATAACCAATTTTTCAGCACTTTCATTAAAAATATTATAAATACTGTAATTTTTTAGAAGTAAATTTAAAGTTCCTTTCACCAGGTTCTTGCATTATTTTTTTAGTATTCTCAAAAAGGTAAAAAAAAAAGTTAAACATTAAAAACAAACAAAAGTCGATATACTCACTTTTTGCAATAGAAAATGACACACAAATCCAGGCAAATAACGATACAAACACAACGACGAAATTCTGAGACATGATAAAGTATTTTTTTGTTCAAGAAAGCTCGAAAAAATATCCTTTCAGTAGAAAAAAGAATTTATGACATCATAATTAACAAAGAAAATTGTATGTAACCTTTACACACAACCTTGTCACGGTTTGTGATAAGGCGGAAGGCACCCAAGATAGCTGAATGCCTCGCACCTGTTTAAGGGATAAGAGAAACAGGTGGAAGAGTATGAGATGAATTAGAACCAAAATGGAGCGTACCTATCTACCTGAAAAAGTTATCGATAGGAACTGATGAAGTCATTATCAATCCTTTTGTAGAACTTTAGCCAGCTAAATGAAGAAGAATCTCCGTGATGTTACTTTAAACAACGAACCAAAAATACGTTATCAAACAAATGGTTATAATTTGATCATTCTAACAGGTCATTGGACAATGGAAAAATATTTGGATGTTTTTCGGCTATAGACGAGAATGATCACCTAATAATAATTAGACGCCGTATGTAAACGGGATGAATTCAGCTTTCTCCGGCCAACCTAGCTCCCTTATTTCAATATCATTAGGCAATTTCATGCCTCACAAATGATTTGATACGCAATAACATGCTCTGAATTTGATAAGTTTTTAAACCGAGGAAGAAAGACAAATAAGTTGATGTTTCAAGGATTTCAACAATTCCGTTTTAAGTTAGTTTTTTTTTTGCAATTAACTGGCAGTGCTTTTATCTGCCATGTTCATATCACTTTTAAGGTCTTGCTTTTTGCCACAGAGAACTCCTATCTGCTACAGGCAGGTTTGAATGGTCCACAGAGGATGCGTGCTTCTCTCATGCACTTGATCCACCTGTTGTCTCTGGAGACAGCAGACTTCGTAGGTTTGAAGGCAGATGTAAAAGAAAAATACACGTATTGGGAATTAAATGGCATCGATTTTGAAAGTGTGTGTGTCAGTTAATAATAAGCAAGGAAGTGATGGCAAACTTTTTAAACTACCAATTCCTTTCAATATCCATTTTTAAAGCGTACAATACACATTTCCTTCATAAGAAAAGGACATTTTATATAAAAAGAAACGCTACAAGGAAGTGATGGAAATAAAAGGAATCATATACTAGTATCAAGAAGAAACGCTGAAGATATCAGGTCTATATATATGTGCTTAGAATTATAGAAAAGCATAACAAGCACAGTGAGGAGATAGACTTCACATGGAAAGAGGAAACCTGGAAGTTCAAAGATCATGCGGAGAAGGCCAATAGAAAAGGAAATGAAGTTCAAAGTGTATATGGAGAAGGGCCCTCGAAAAGGAAATAGGGGTGAAAAGGGTAAAACTGCTATTACTAATCAGAAACATGAACAGATTTGCACGTAATAGAAACCGATGAAGTGACCCTGATGCCGCCATATCTGCAGAAATTGATGATTGATTATAAAAGTTAATGCAAGAAGTAAATGAATACGAAATGATAAATGCAAGTTCTTCTTGAGAAGAAAGCTTTACTAGAATTACATAGATTAATAAAACTTCTTCAGACATTTTGTAAAAAAAAAAAAAAAAAAAAAATTTAAAGTCATTACAGATGCCTTAATATCAAAGACATATGGACAGATATAAATCTACCATTAATATAATTTATAGTATCTAACATCAATAACCTGGGAATTGTTTTTTCTTTGCATCTCTGTCTAAAATAAAGAATAACAAAATACATTATTCAGATCATTTTTCATACTGATAGGAAAAAAAGACTTTGTAACATTATACAGTTCCTATCATTTTCTTATTTTACGAAACCATCGTTCGATACGACAAACACACACCACCTCATTACCAGAAAAATACCACCAGGTCTTTAATTGTCTTAATTAGAAGACACGGTACTTCCGATCCGTCTCTAAGGTTCTTCCCGGTCCGCTCAGATATGCTGTCCCTAATTGCCGACACACAGTGATTGAAGGACTTCTCTTACTTTTGTTGTTAGAATTCTAGTTTGTCTTAAGAGTTAAAAGGAATCTGACGTCTTTACGTCTGAAAATGGACAGCGTTCATGCAATGCTGCAGCTCTGATTCGTCCTTTCTACGGAGGCAAACAACAATTACTATACCGCTTATTACATGGAACGATGTAAAATGATTATTATATATATTTTGTTCATCGGTTTTAAGAGATGCTCCATCTCTGATTCTTGAATAATGTGCCCGAAATCATCAATTATTCTCCCATCATATACACGGAAGAGGTGTAATAAAATTACTATAACTTATACTTTGTTCACAAGAGAATGAACTACCGTATCATTACTTACTATACATCAAACTGCTATCATAGCGGATCCTCATCCTATGTCCATTTTACGACAACTAGTCACGTGATTTAGCTACCATAAACCGTTGGATACTGCGTTTGTATACTTGAATGGGCTTTTCTACAAGTTCTATTATTTGAGTTTTTGGATCATTCACAAAGGTAATACTATTTTTTTAATGCATGGAAAGATGCCTTTTCAAATCACATTATTGGGTCTTTGTATTTTTTTTTAAAAAATGCTGCAAAAATTCAATTTAAGATCTAATTAACTTGATCCATGTTCATTATCTCTTCAAAATGTTCGAAATGTTGCTATCCTAAGGATGATTTTGTCATATGGATTATACCTATTTTAATTTATACATAGATTATCTATAGACTTTAAAGAATTGTTCTTACTTTTGTGTGAATAAGTATTATGTGTTCGTTGATAATGATCAATGGTAACAGATCTAGAGGTATTTCATTTATTTTCAGCTTTGACTTTAATACATTTGGTCTGACTTTGTAAAGTATAAGTTAATTAAAATAATTCATTTCTGGTATAAGTGCATTAAAGTAAATATATATTTTTCTGTGTTTGAAAATGTTTGAATTTATAGACAACTTCAAAAAGTGTCATAGCATCAGCTTACTTAGATTTAGTGTTACTCGAAAAGCTAATTGTTGGACCAGAATATTTTAGTGCAAGACATCATAGTGTACGTCTTCAAAGAATAAAAGTAGCTTTATGGTATATGGCATTCAAATTACTGACCTACAATCCGGCCGTTCATGATACACTTTTTACGATCATATTAAGAAATAATGCAAAATTAGTGATCATATAATCTGTTTGAGATCAAAGTTAACAAAAACGCATTTTTGTAAAATACGTAAATTTTGTATTATTTATCAATCGCCTTGTTAAATAATATGAACTAAAATGATACATAACATCCACCAAAAATACTTTTTTTCATTCATAAATAAATAGGTTTGCCCACTTATATATGGTAATTTTACCATTTATTACCATTTATTGGTTCAAGGTGGTCTAGTATAATGCTGCTTTATACCATGAGTTTATTAAATATTATTGTGGTCGCCTGCATGGCACAGAAGTTAAATTGTTTGTTCTAGAAAATGAGTTGATCCTTAAACAGTAAAAACCGAGGTCCCGTGTCGCAGTAGGTGCTGGCACGAAAAAGATCACTCCCTGCTCAATGGCCCTAAGTGCCGAGTATAAGTCTAAATTTGCAGCCATCCACCAGCACATGGTGTCTCAAAATGTGGAAAACAATTCTAAGAGACATTCAAACAAACAGATTAGAGCATTGTGATTACCTGTGAGATTTGTCCTTTACAATATATGGAATGCTACTGCTCTCTTTAAATTGTCAGTTAGTTGAAATTTTACTGTAATATTATATGGTGTTAGAAAAAAGCATTTTCAAATGTGAATGATTTATTAATTGAATTTTTTTTAAATCAATGTATTTATCATAATCAGCTGATTTGATATCATCTTTAATATCTGCCAAAAAACTTTAAATCCTATAGATGCTATCTTTAACATTTCTTCTTTTGCCACAAGATTTTGCATACTTGAATGTCGTTTTTGAAATTTGCATACTGCTATATAATGAAATGAATTACTTACAATGTATATATAGTAAAGATACATGGTGTCTGAAATAATCTTTTACTTACTTGTTGTAACGATGTTCAATTATCTTGAACTAAAATGGCAAAGATAAGTTTTTACAGCAATTTTGGTTTTAAACCAGTATCATCATAAACAGTATTAAATGAAATATTTTATCTCTCTCTCTCTCTCTCTCTTCCTCCCTCCTCTTTCTCTCTCTTGATGCATGGACTCTCGGATCAGGGTTGTATTAAATCTTCATTACAAAGAAAGAAGTAATTAGAATCTAATTGAACGGATCAATTTGGGGTTGACGCCTTGTCACTCAAGCAGGCGACATTGGCCGCAGACGAGCACGTGCAAATTTGTCAAAGCACCCAGGCTTGCAAACAATTTAGCGGGAAACTCCTGAATGGCAGTCGCTCGGAAAATTTATTTTCTCATCGGATGAGTTTCTAACAAGGTCTTCGTTTGCTAAACCTCTTTATATTGACAAAATTTTGTAAATCATTCAATTTTGCCAAGGATTTTTTACTTGTGTAGGGACCATCTTGAACCATGTTGACAGATTACGTCAAGAGGCAGGATTTAAAGCTGTCCATTAGGAGAAAGATTTCACTGAAAATATTTTTTTGTTTTCAATATTTCAGTACCAAATTTGTTATCAATAATTATCTAATATAAGAGTTCGAAAAGATATTAAAGAGAATAATACTTCAATTTCACAGGATAATTAGAAAAAAATCGTTTCAAAAAGGTACTGTCCTTTTTGAGATTAAGCAAATATTATGTAAAGCGAGGTTGTAAAGTAAAGGAAAGTATCAATTTTTTAAGTTGTAGTATTCATAAACTTTTAATGTTAAATTATGCTGTTTTTTTTTCACACACTTGAAGTGTAGTTTAAAGTCCTCCCATTACTATCAGTCCTTTAATGTGTTGAATTCTTATCTTTAAATTTAGGTGACCCCCCCCCCCCCCCTCCATTCCTAGATATTTGCTACTTGATAATTTTATATATATCGTTTGTCATTTCAAACACGTCCTTTAAACTAGAAATCATATAATTTTGTGTGTGTGTGTCTCAACTCGCACAGAATCGTTACCATTCTTCTACACCGCTCTGTCACATGATTTGATTTTGTAGGCTCTGGACTTTGTACAAGCAATTTGTATGTAGCTTTATTGACTTTATTGACAAAGAGAGAGGCACGTATTACTAGCGAGCAGAAAAGATACGGCATGTTTTAACATCAGGATTTTCGAACTAAATAATTTTTTATTTGAAGATCATTGAAAAAGTTCAAAATAACTGCGTAATATCGGAACATTTTTCCTTTTTTCGTGCTAAGATACCACTAAAATTTAATAATTGGAGCGAGTCATCGCCAAACTGTCGAGATTGGTTGATGATCAAGGGCAAATGTGTACAGAAATTTTCAAATTACCTCTCCAGTTTTACATCATATTTGCTTATCTCATATTATGCGAGGTTTGTTCTTTAATTCTCGCGAGATTTCGGCGACTAATGCTCATACTGAAAAGTCCCAATGCAACCAATGATCTTTGATGCTCTGTGCAATTTTTTTGATATATTAATTGTGATACAGAAAATTGGATGCAACTACGATTAACTTTTCCCTATTTATTATGAAATATTTGAAGCATGTTCATTGGAGAATACAAAATAGGGTCCAGTAAAACAAACATAGCTGTATGTCGTTTTCGGAATCTCGAGAAATTCTCCGTATTTAACTCAACGTGTTTACTGTTACTAAAGAACATGAAACTAATTTTTAAGTGAAGACTCTTTTCTTTAAACCACAGATTGTGCACTCTATACATGAAACTTATACCAGTTTAATATTGAGACATGTCCAATTATTACAAATCCATAAGAGATAAACATATCTAATGTACCTCTCTACATGCTCTATAAGAAGTTACTGATGATTTTCTTCGACCAATTGTCCACGTGGAAATTGGTCATTTTCTCTACAGGCTACTTAGAAGTCAACGACTTGTATAGCTGTATATTTCCTAATTGCTACAGCTGTTTTCAGTGGCTTTAATAATTAGCCTTTATATATGTGTATATGTGTTATTGAGAGATAGAGAGAGAGAGAGATAAAATTCAACAAATATAAACATGGAATTTATTATTCTTTTGGATATATGAGCCAAATTTACATGAAGAAAACTTTATCGATTGCAATTTATGTCCAACTTTCTACAAAAAGCACTTATTTGTAGAAGTATAAAAAAGCAATCATTACAATTTGCGTCGAATTTAGCACAAAGTGTGATAATGCATCATGTAACAATTCAAAGTTTTTAGTATCACATACAGGAAAAATATTCTCTGTAGCAAACTATTACTGACGCAAAAAGTTCAAGATGATTTTCTCAACTAGCTGAAAATATTTTTTAAAAAAATCTATTATTTTCTTCATTTACAGTTTCCTATACATGATATGGACATTACACTGAACAATGCGATACAAAAACAGGAACACTTTTGAATGCGGACGGTAACCTACGGATGTTGTTTTTCCAGCAAGGAAATCCATCCACAGGGTAAGAGTCCTTATAAATCAAATTGTGCTTGATTTGAAAAGGGAAAAGCACCATTTCCTCTTGAAAAAATGTCTTCTTATCATGAATAGTCCATTCATTCACCATTTTCCCCTTCGTTTCTTTTTGAAGCATCATTCAGAGGCATTCTATTACTCGAGCGGATATAAGTCTCGTTTACTGCCGGAAACCGTCCCCACCACGGGGTCTCGGAAATGTTTATTTGAATGGATCTGAGAAGCTTTATACTCAAGAATGTCGTTAATGTCTATATAAGTTTGGCATACGCAGTGTAAATTGAGGACATTTGTGTGTTGATTTTTCATTATTTATTGGGACTCTTGATTCGTTTTGGAGAAATACAAAACTCTGAACTACGCAGCATTAGAAGTCTTGTCTGTGGCTTCAATAAGATTCTTCAGTTTTGTCATCCTCATAAATAGTAGCACCTCAGTCAACCAAAGATCCGATTCGTATCTTTGAGCGAAGATAAAACAGTTGCAAGAATTAAAATTTTATTATCAAAATAACACATTTATCCCCTGGATTGATCTACTTATTCTCGTATACTAGTATCAGATAAGTTTATAAGGTACTATTTGGATCTCTTGGTTGAAGAACGGTTCTTCCATCACATATTGACTGTCACTAGGCATTTATATGAATTTACAAAATTGGATCTCCTTAGGAGTATATTTGATTGATAAATAGCTGCAGCATACTATCATCTGACTTTGGAGGAGCCAATCAGAAATGTTTTTAAAAATAAGTTAGAGTTGGAGGTTAATTGATAAACTTATTTTTCAGTTGAACTGAAAAGAATTTGATCTACCAGGTTGCTAAAACGAACCGACCGACTCACAAAACTTGTGTTTTGCAGTGCATGTTTGAAGCTGTATATATATATATATATATATATATATATATATATATATATATATATATATATATATATATATATATATATAACATTTTATTGGCCACTGATAATTATTTGGTTTACTGACAAACAATTGATTATCTATAGGCAAAGAATGACTGATTGATTGTATACATATTGTTTAACGTCCCTCTCGAGAATTTTTCTCTCACATGGAGAGGCCACCACTAGTGGAGAGCTACAAATTTTGTCCTATACTCGGCACTCAGGGCCATTTAGCAGGGAGGGATCGTTTTCGTGCTAGCACCTACTGAGACATGGGACTCCGTTTATACAGTCTCATCCGAAGGACCGGTTTCCACGTCCCACAATTGGATTCGAACCCGACACATAAGGATCAGCTCCTTATTTAGTGATTCTAAAGCAATAAGGAAAATTTTATATGGTACCCGTGTTATATAGGTTTTCCATAGCAACCTTGACAAAAATGTATCATTGATCAGAAAGCACAGGAAAATGTGGCCTGTACAGGGAGATGCTTACTGTTATAATGGTTTTCCAAATGAAGAGCAACCGTGACAAAAATGTTTCCATTGAATTCATGACATGATTTCAGTTCATTATATCTCCACAATTCATTGTAACTGTCCATGGCAAGTGTCCCACCTCTGATTGAAGAGCGAAGAGGTCGACATGTTTGCGATTGCACGCATGTTTTTGTTATACGGGCTGTTTCTCGAAGATGGCTGGGACAATCTTCTTGAAACTTTCCTCAAAGGAGGATCACTGGTTCTAGTTCTTTTTGTGATTTTTTTAAAAAAACTTTTTCCTAATCGTGTTTCGCTGCACGTATTTTTAACCCGAAAACTTCACAGAATTAAGTTATAATTTCTAGTTATCTCTCCACTGACCCCTGCTAGCGGAGGGATTTATTTGCCTTATATATTTGTTTTTACTGACCCCCTTGAGAACCGAAAGGATAAACTCTCGGTCCGTCAACTTCAGTTCATCTCAAAACCTCATCTGTCGTCTGTAAACGACGTCAAACTTCCGCACGGTTCTTAACGATGTTGAAATTGGCTGGATGTTTTTTCATCTCACCCGCAGTGATATTAAGGAAAAAATGACTTAATAACAAGCCAATAAAACACGGGAAATAACAAGCAAAATCAATTTGATCCGATAAGTGGATTTTCGTCCGGACTGGTTCTTAGAACATTTTATACGAAACAGACGTGAAATAATTTAGGTGGGCGCTATAGTTAAAGAGGATCGCATAGAATTATAAATTAGCCCTTCAGGAATTCAACAAAAGTAATTTCATTTACATATATGTATAGATAAAATTCATTTTTAGAATCCATGTTTTTCATTATCGCTTTGTCAATGGAAATATAAAACAATGGCATTTAGAAAAAAATCATTCTGAAATAATTCTAAATACTACAACAAAGCTATTGTTTCTCTATAGATACACATATTTTCAATTTCAATTCTTTTGAGACTATTGATTTCTAAAAACGCACACACCAAGCACCCACGTTTTGGAAAATATATACAAGTACAATGTCTTTTTTTCGATTTATAAGAAAAATAATGAATTCTTCGAGGGAACATCGACTTAATATTGTAAGAAGAAGAAAGACTCAGGTCACTCGTTTGTCTGTTCCTAACAACTTGTGATCTGTGTTATCCGAAGGGACATTCGGATCCCATCGGGTTTTATTGTATTCCAGAACTCGGTAAACCAATGAACTCCGGATCATTTGATTTGAACGTTTGATGCTATGCAATTCAATTGTAAACAAGAGTAGAAATATACACGCCATAGAAATTGATTCCGAATGGCTGCTAGCTGATTTTCTAGTCGTGTTATAGGGGGGAGTTTAATGAAGTGATTTCACGGCAAGGCAGTCAACGAAGAATTTACTTTTTGTGTTGTGCAACAAATAATTCATAAGAAATGAATTATTACATTGTATTCTTAAATTAAGGACAGTTAATGCGATGTAGTGGAATACTATGCAATTACTACTGAGGAAATTTTTTAATCAAGTGAATACTTTTTGGAATTTTTTAGTTATTTTTGGACTAATATGTATACATATTATTCATTCACTATTACGACTGGATGTTGCACAAAAGCGGTAAGATTTATTTAATAATAATTAGTCTCATGTGTGTTTGAACAAATCAATTACCAGGACGTTTATTATAAAGTTGCAGGTGACACAGATGAGGGGCTGTTGAGCCTGGAGGCCCGGTCACAGAGTCATGGCGGGAGTCAATAGTTAACCACCTTCCTGCATGACCGGCGGTTTCAACATGGAAATTAAAATATAAATAATGAATCTGTATTGTATACCTTACCATTGTTTTTTTTACCCGCCCTTTGGGTATACTATAATGGAAATTTGAGGTTTTGTGTACACGAGGAATTAACAATGAATAAAGATATCAATCAACATAGGCTCGTGAATGCGATGGAGTCGGAATTTACGGACGAGAGTGCTTGTGAAATTTATTCACAGTCTGATGTGGAGGACACATTGACCGATCAAGGTCAATTTGAAGCTGGGTCAAGGTCGTCTCTTATGGATATTCACAATGATTTACATCCCATCGGCAGATCGGGTACAGACTCGTCGAACACGACAATACAGGATAGAGCTTCACCTACTGACCTTGAACCCGGGGACCTCGAGAGAACGAACACGCCAACCGAATCCGTGGCAACGGAATCGGCTCTTTATGAAACACCCTTTACCTCCATCAGTGGTTTTGACGTTTATTTAACTGCATTTGAGGAAAGTTTACATTCTATCGACAAAGTTTTAAAACTAGACAGCCTCCCGGAAATTCCGGCAGCCACATCCAATTCTAAAATCCGAAAAGATTCAACGGCAAAGCAAGACTCGGAATGCCAAGAATCTCAAAAACCTCAGTCCAAAGGAGGTAAGGGAGGGGAGAGACTTGGCTCCACAGGAAAATGTACCCCGAAGAAAACAATACCATCCCCTCCTAAAACTTTACCGATGACCTCTGCTGAGGACACGAAATCACTTTCTGGAAAAAGCAAAACTTCAAATGGATCTCTGAAATCTGAGCAATCCGGGAATTTAAAATCCCTTTCAAAGGAGATCAAAGGAGGGACCAAGGCTTTACTGATACAAAAGGTAAGTCCTTATTAGTTTTTTTTGTGTGTGTTGTATTTTATGTCGCACTCATGGTGTTTCCCTTGTATATCAACTTATATTTGTAACCAAGATGTCTGCAAAAAGACTGAAAAACCAAATATACAGCAGCTCATGTTTCTTATTACAAGCAAAGTTTTTACAAGGCCTTGTGTGTTTACAAGTTTCATTAAACTTAATATGTCGAAACATAATTAATTAAATACCTGATTTTTAAAATATTTCTGAAACAAATATTTATAATTTACCTCTATTTTCTCGAGTAATACTTTTAAAATTTTTAAAATTTTAAATTCAATATTGTTTTAAGAAATGAAAGATAAAAAGGTTATTGATGTATTCTTCTGTTAATATACATTCAAAAGCAAATTTATATGCCTACAGTAATGATGATGGCGATTTATCAGTCCACTAATGATATTCATGTATAAATGTACCACGTATCCGTCAATGATCATTAATGCATAGAGTACCGCATAAACCACTCGTAATACATTGTTCACTATTTCTTCTTATTCATTAATGATTCATAAATTAATAACGATGTCAAATACATGTACAATAGTTTTTTTTTTTTATTAATACATCAAGTAAGGACAAAAACAATGCAAAATATCAAAAATATATATAGGACCCAGTAAAACTTAAAAACTGCCTGCACGTACGCTGATGAAGCAAATTTACATATAAAAATACACGTATAACAAAAGTTTGTATTTGATTCCCATTAATATTCCGAACTATATATTCTTTTTTAGTTTTTATTTTTAATTGTTATCACGAGTTCCAGTCTTAATAAATAACGGATATAGCGAATTGATTCTTTATTCCACAGAGGTGAATACTAACGAAATTTATATATTGTCATGTTGTAAATTTTGTAACTGCCACGAAATTTATATATCTTCTAAAAAATAATTTAATTTAGGTAAAAATTCTTAATATTTTATGTATTTAATCAGCAGAAAATGCTAGTTCTCCAAGGAAAGTTTTGTATGTAATACTTCACTGTACATGCATGTAAGGGACATTCCATACAAGGATAAAAGCGCAGGGCGCCTTTATTGTTATGCTTTACAACACAATATATTAAGCCCTCGAGAATTCAAGATCAGCTCAAATTCTTCACTGGTCAATTCGCCTTACGTCCTTCATCCCTCAACAATTTGCATGCAAGAAGGAAGTATGCAAGTCTGAACTACGTGTCTGAGGTCTTCTTTCAATAATGAAATTATTTCTGCTATCAAAATATCAAAAAAAAAAAAATGTCTATAAAAAAATAATGGACGCAATTTTGAAGCAATTCTACGGCAATTTTCTAGAATAATCCATTTTGAGACCTGTATGATTAATAACTTATTCATTATAATTATATACAGCTTATTCTTTAAACATCAAGACATAAGGACAGAATGTCGAATTTGCATAAAAAAAATCCTTTTAGATAAAATTGATTCGTTCCTCGGTACCGAAAAAGTTCATATATATTGTACATTTCAACCCACATGGAAAAAAATTGATTAACATTGTTTATTTTGATGTCAATATTCTACTGTGCAAAATCAACATTTAATTAAAATCACCAGATTATATATTTGATGAAATAAAAACTTTAAATTTACACTGTCGATATGAAGGGGTCGGATTACAATATAGTTTGTTTGGTCTGTCATCAAACATTATCGAGATTTAGTAATTGCCCGCCACTACAATAATTTTGGATGGAATTTAAACTTTTTTTCAGTGTTGTTAATTAAGCTATTCTGTATTTTAATAAATTTAGAAAAAAAAGTGTAATTGCAGTCTCGATTAAAAAAAAGACCTTAAGTTTTATTCATCTCTTACATAATAGTTTTGACTGTGATTGGGCGGCAGAAAATTTTAAAAGTATACATTTTAATCATTCAAATAATAAAAGAAAATGTTTAAATTAACTGAGGAAATTTATGACAGGATTCTTGAAATTTATAAAAAGGACAATGATCCCCAACCTTTTTTTCCCATTATTTATTTATTTGTTTTTATTTATTTATTTTTGCTTTCTTTAAAGAATAGAGAAATTCCAATCCATTCGGCTTAGCATTGGCTGAATCATCAAACATAAATATAAAGAAACGTGAAAATATTTTGTTGAAGCTTTCTGCTCTAATGCTTTAATTAATCAGCCTAAGCTTTATTCGATATTATATTTTTCCGTTAATTAGTCGACACGTCTAATTAATCCCTTAATCCTAATTAATGAAGAACATGCTTAGAAGCTCGGTGATCAATCTTAACGCGCTAATATTTCCATGGAGGTTTGGGTCTTTTACTCATTGTGTCGGCCAAGTATAAAACTTTACATGGACACATAGGACGTATATAATTAACAATATTCACAATGACTTTGATGGGATATAGCGTACATAGATATATATAAGTTACTGAAGGCGCTTGATAAATTTTGTTTAGTCCTTTGAAATACCTTTTGAATTCGTTGTTCTAATTGTTACATTTTAAAGGATATCTGCTTTTCAGCCATGAATAAAATAACTTTCAAAAAAATATTTTGAACGTCTAAAAATGTTATAACTGAAAGAAAGTTCGGCAATTTTCATTTTTTTTCTTCATTTTTTAAATTTGATTCGAGGTTCTTTGAAGACAGTCCTTGAAATGGACATATAAAAAAGTAGACATTTGTCTCTCGTAAAAAAGTAAATGAAACAATAATTGACATTTTTAGGGAATTCGAATTTTCTTTAGGTTTACTTTAGATACCAATGTTTTATTGAATAGATGAATTTGGAAGTATTTGGAGCTATGACCATTTTACTTGTTTTTGATGATACAAAGTCATCATCAGAGTAAAATTTCTTCACAACAACTCCAGATTTTCAGTTATGCTTTCCATGCATTTTGTCATTACATAGTATTAAAAATAAAATTTTCTCAGGTGTTTTCCACTGAACACATATGTGCATGTTGTTCATCACTCTTTATATTTGGGAAGGTTTTTGCATTTTTATTGATAATAAGGACCTAATCGAAAAAAAATAAAATTTTCATCACAAAAAGTCTTCGTTGGACCAAATTGGACATTGCTTGATATAAATAATTCTCAAGTGACCACCAAGAACAGGGATCTCTTTTATTCGGAATCTTTTTCCGTGTTGAAGTGAGTGTTTTTGTCAGAGCAAAATGTGTTGTTGTGAGATAATAATTGTTGTTGAGAAATGGAACCTTTCAGTAACTTATAAAACAAGATTTGTTTGTTATATATTATATACTGATGCCCCCATATGACAGCTTTTAACGAAGGTTGAAGTTTCTCAAATGCAAGTCAATCTCCAAGGTCAAGTGATGCAAAATGCTGTTATCCAATGATAGGACTTGTTCTCAATGAATACCGGTATACCTATGAATTATGAAAACTCAAGCACTAACTATAAAAATTTAGTCAAGATTAAGGTTTTCGTAAATGTGGGTCAAACTTCAAGGTCAAAGGAACAAATTAAATGTACCCAAGGGAAGAAATACATATATGTGAAATATTAAATTTCAAGCACTAAAATATTCAAAAGTTATTGCTTAAAGTTGCCAAAAGGAAAGCCTTGTCTCATGGACTTTATCTTTAAACACTTAGATTAAGGGCCATCATTTTTCACAGATGTAATCTTTGTGACAAGATTTTTTTTGAATACCAACAATTTTGATGTTTTGACCTTGACCTAAGAGTTTGACTCTTTTTGAAAGACATTTGCCATAAATCTTGAAAAGTTGGTGCTAGGGCTACTAGATCTCATAATATTATAAATATTTCTAATATTGAAATACCGGGTATCTTCCCCCGGGTACCATTAATTTGACCTTGGAGTTTGACCCGCATTACAAACAAGTTTAATCTTGGCCATAACTTTTAAATTGGTTAATAGTGCATAGAGTTTCACATTTCGCAGGAACAATTATTGAAACAAGTCCTTTCTTTTGGTACTTTTTTTTTATCTTTTGACCTTGGAGTTTATCTTGCATTTGAGTCACTTAAATCTTCGCAAAAAGGTTCCATACGGGTGCATCGCAACACAACACGGGTGTTTCACAAACACATCCTTTTTTTTTTACCTCAGTAACACAGTTGCGGTCAGATAGCCTTGTTTGTAGCAGCAAAATAGCTCAACTCATGGAAAATCTGTCTTGAACTTGGGACCTAAATTCGAATCTTTTACTTCTCCATTTCCTCATTTCCTGTTGCTTTGCCATCACTGTGCCCCCACAATTACTTATCTTCCATGCATTATTTCCTGTTGTGCACTGGGCTGTAGTATTCAGCAGAAGTCATTATGATGTAATCAAGATTATCAATCTTTTTTTTTTGCTGATTACCCCTAGAAAACTCATTTGATAAAGAGGATTAAGAAAAAAATGGGAATTTCGTAATATGCAATCTCTCTTTATATATATAGTGAACGATGCAAATACAGGTAAGATGGAATGGTGAGAATCAGATATAATTTAATTACACAACTGAACACTATAAATAATAAAACAGAAGATAAATCTGTAAAAGTGGTGATTTATAAAGAGATAAATCACTGGTTAACTTTATTAAATGCCCTCTATTCGTTGTTTCTAATCACACGGACCAGTTTGAGTCAACTGACATGGATGTTTGTCCTGCCTCACTACCGATCCTATATAACGGAATTGCTGTAAAGCTTTAACACTGATGAATTACCTTTTGTTTATCGTTTTATTTCATCGTTTGCAACCTAAAAGATTGTATGATTATCATGACTAAAGCTTTTATTAACAAACCTATAAGGCCCGAATGTATAAGAGGCAATGGCTGATTTTAATAATGTGTAAGATCAGATTGTAAAGTTTTTCATTAAATATTGATGCTGATGATGTTACAGAAAAAAGCAATGTGATCCGAGAGCAATAATTTTCAATTTTCGCAATAAAGAAGGGTTCAATCGGATAAAAACGGATTAACAACATTGAGT